GTGTTAAGTATAAAGTCAAAAGAAAGGCAATTTGTTCAGCAGCAAAGGTGCAACCTGCATAATTATATGACAGCACACTTGAAACCAAGCATTCACATATGTATGTGCTATTGTGCATCATGTCTTGTTTGTCTAGTTTTCTTCATCTCAGCTGCTGGGTCTGATGGTCTGCCTTCAAACAATTCTTTCACCTGTAGAAGGTCATTTCAGTCTTACTAAAATAATTGTCATGCTGTGCATTTCCTTGTGTCCCCCCCCCTCTCTCTCTCTCTCTTTCTCTCTCTCTCTCTCTGTCTCTCTCTCTCTCTCTCTCCCCCCCAGGCTGCTGATGTGATCTGTTGCACGTGCGTTGGTGCCGGTGACCCTCGCCTGGCCAAGCTTCAGTTCAGCTCTGTGCTCATTGACGAGAGCACCCAGGCCACAGAGCCAGAGTGCATGATCCCAGTCATCCTGGGCTGCAGACAGGTGACTACACTTCACTTGCTCTTGAATTTTAATTTGTTAAAGAAAGCGGTTTAGCGTGCACTTAGCAAACGGATTTTTAGGTCCCAAATTTTTTGCTTATTCGTGTGTACGTTATATTCTTTGTATTTAAAACATGTACGTGATAAACCCCCATTTACTTGAATTTTATAACTTTACAGGAGAGACAAAAAATTGTCTAACATTGTATGTGTTAACACTTAGGCAATCAAATTTTGTCAGTGTATTGTGATGGGTCTTGGACAAAATCTTGCCCCTTCCGAAGTTAAATTTGTTATTTGTGGCAATTTGTTTACATCTTGGTTTGATTTAACATTTGTTTCCAATGGTTTTATTTACTTCATCAACCCATATAAATGACTAAGGATATTGGTAAGAGTATTAGCTGCTATCTAGTTTGCTTTTCGAACCATTATGCCTGATCTTTTATTTTGTGAATCACATTAGGAAATTTCTCAAGTTGCATTTTTAATAATTATTAGCATTTCTACAAGTAAAGGTTTTCATTTTGAAGAGATTCGTTACTGGCAAAGTTTCTAAAATGTGAAGATCCACACCTTCTGTGTCAACAGCTCATCTTAGTTGGTGACCACTGCCAGCTGGGCCCTGTAGTCATGTGCAAGAAAGCTGCCCGGGCTGGTCTGTCACAGTCCTTGTTTGAACGCCTGGTTGTGCTGGGCATACGACCCATCCGCCTGCAAGTGCAGTACCGCATGCACCCTGCATTAAGCAGTTTCCCTTCCAACATATTCTACGAGGGATCCTTGCAGAATGGTGTCACTGCTGGTAAGATGGGCTAGGGGTTGACAAAAGTTATGTAACTGCGAAGTTTAGGGAAACTTTGTCTCAGTCTATTTTTGGGGCAAACTTTGTAAGATGGTTTTTGAGTAGTTTAGTGTTCACAAAATCTTTTTGTGTTGTTATCTGTTGTTTGCTACCAAGGAGGGGTAACACTGTAGGTATTTGTCCATCAAGGGTATTGGTGCATGATGTTCAAAATAATGGTTATAAAAGAGGAACAAAGATCTTTTTCATACTTATTATCTTTTGTCAAGTTACAAAAAACCCTGTAATCTTAGTTATACCCTTTTACAATAAAGGTCAATAAACCAATGTGCCAGGATCTGGACAATAATGATATGTCTTATCTTAACTTAATACTTAAAACTCCCTGTTTAAATAAGTACCCCTCACTTCTTATACCTGTAGCAGCCTGTAAGTAAAGATGTAACAGTATGGGTAGGGGGCAAAATTGTAAAATTCAATATTTTGCACTCTCTGCACACAATTACAGCTGACCGCACCCGCAGTGGGCTGGATTTCCCGTGGCCACAGCCTGACAAACCAATGTTCTTCTACAGTACTTTTGGCACTGAGGAGATCTCCAGCTCGGGAACATCGTACCTCAACCGGTATAGAAGTTTGTTTACTAAGTGATTACCCATTGTTTGATCTCTATTTTACCAGAAAGACAGATCTTTACATTGTTTTTTCGGGTTGCTTTATAACCAGACAGGTTGCAGATAAAGATGAGGAATTTTTTTAATGACCTGGGTTCAAAGTTGGGTTTATATTTAACATCCTTCTTTCTCTCCAAATATTTCAGTATTAAAGGATTTGAAGGCCAAAAACTTCAAGATGGTATTTATAAAGGGCTTAATCTTTGGTACAAACGTCACAATTGTTACAGGGAAGAGCAAGAATGCAGAGTAACTTGTCAATTTTAACATATATTCAGAAAATTACAAGTTTACAACCCTTAGATTACAGCACCTGTCTTTTATCCCATATTATTGCTTCTTTTCACCTGCTAAGTTGTGTTGACTAGTTCTGCCGTACCCATAACTTGGGCTGAGTAATAAAACGATTATACATCATTGCAGAACTGAGGCAGCCAACATTGAGAAGCTTGCGACAAGACTGTTGAGGGCTGGAGTCAAGCCAGAGCAGATTGGTATCATCACTCCGTACGAAGGTCAGCGGGCTTACCAGGTACAGCACATGCAGTACAACGGCTCTCTCAACAAGAAACTCTACATGGTAAGTGCAGGAGGGTGTTGAGATAATTACGTCAAGTCACTGCCTTAGCTTAGCAATGCCAATCGCGCTTTCCCGCGCGGCGAAAATTTGGTCCATGTTTGCGGGTGAATTTTTGGACCCGGCCGTAGCGTAGGTGACTAACTTTGTCAACCTCGGTCTGCTCTATTTCCGAACCAATGTGAATGAAACTCTGCAACCAATAAAAAAATAGGGCAAACTAATGATATCGGGTATACCGAAAACTATAAGGAGTTTGAATTTCAACACCGAGATGGTAATAGATCTATGTTCTATAGTGTGCTCGAATATGAACGTTCTGTGTCGAGTAGTTGTTTAGACCGGATCATAAATGCACGACTACCCCCCTATCCAAAGCGGCTTCACACGGAGACCGGACATTTTCCCCTCACTCTCGCGGCAAATGTATGTGACCTACAAAGCCTCGCATGAAACCTGTTGGTGCTTAAATGACCAAAATTGTGTCGATAGTGCCGTAAAACATCTACCCCAATCAAATCAAATGACTATTCCGGGCCCGTTCATTGGTCACTTGAAATAGGGCAATGGCAGGCGCGCACATCCGGTTGTTTTTCTCTCTGTTCCCTTGTAACATCGCAATGGGGGCATTCCGAGGCGAGGTTATCTCGTCTCGGGGTGTTCGCGTCTCAACGGGGAAAAAGAATATTTAATTGTACGGCATGCTAGATTGAATTAACTTTTCTTTTACGGTTGTCATGGTCTTATGTCATCATAAAAAGCTTTGCAATTATTTAGTCACGCTGCCGACATATATTCTTAAAGATCCCATGTTGTGATACGATGCTATAAAAAAAATGGACTCCTCCCAACACTCCTTTTTCACGAAATTGTAATATGTACACAGACCTGCCACTCATCCCGATTTAGTCGGGATATCCCGATCTTTTGCCCCAAATCTCAAGCATCCCGATTTTCCCGATTTCGATCGCGTGTATCCCGATTTTTTGTCCCAGTCGGCTGTTGTGCCGGATTTTTCTAAAAACTTTGCCTTCTTCTCTATCGCGGGAAGCACCCGTTGAACTTTTTGTCAGTAGGAACTCGGAGCACTATTTCCTGAAATATCGATGCCGCATTTAGTAGTTGACTCGCCCCAAGTTGTGTGTGATCTTTGCCGGCACTCAGAATGCTCCGATGATAGCCTGGTAACTGTTACAATTTGGGACATACAAATAATCGGTATTAATATTCATAGTTCCGCTGTTACTTTCAAAACAAGCCTTGTGCGAGGTCTGGTAACTGCGCGTTCACACCATACACTTGGACGAGCAACAGTCTTTCTAACCCTTACACAACTAACTGTAACTGCGCTGACAAGACTAACATACGGCCGTTGTCGTTGCTTTATTCTGAACGCATTTATGAGGGATAAGAGATTTGTTGATACAATTGGTCGGTCGGCCATCGTCGTTATCCTAGATTTCTAGAAGTAGAATGACTGTCGCTCATCCGAGTGTTTTATGGGAACGTCCAGTTACTCCGACCCGTTATTAAAGTTGTTTCAATCCCGCATTCGCGCCACGTGACATGACATCGCCGTGTGAGTTCTGTGTGTTGGGGACCGTGCGTTGACGGGGTCATTTAAGTTCACATATTTCGGGACTTATTGGTGGGGGGGGGGGGTTATAGACACTTGGACTAGGAGTGCTTGTCGTGATGCTTCAGGATTTACAAAAAATAATGATAACTCGCACGCACACACACACACTCACGCGCGCACGCACTCTAACAAAGACACTCAGAGTGCATATAGGCCAAGTAATTTATGGACACCCCTGGAAAAATTTTAAGTCAGCTTTGGCAGTCACCTTGGTGATTTGCTGTTGATCCCGATGTTTTTCACCGAATCCCGATTTTTTCTCCCTGAGGTCCTGATTTTGAGGTTTCATAGAGTGGCAGGTCTGTGTACACCAAAATTTTAATTATAACAAAATAACTACGAAATGGGTAGTAAATCTGGTTGCAGAAATCATTTCTGCACCCAAAAACACACCGGGTAGCCAAGTTTCTAACACTGATGAATTACGAGACATCTTCGATTTTTTAACAGAATCTGCTACTGCGTGGTCCACTTTTTAGGAGTATTTTCCTATATGTGGGTCATCCATATTTTACCGTCCTTTTCAACCCCATAACTTTTTTATTTATTAACCGATTCTTGAAATTCATGAAGCATAATTCTTAGAATTGAAAATTCGTTCTTAGGTACCAAATAAAAAAGGGCTAAAGTGAAAAATTTAATTTTCTTTGGCATTGCTACTTAGCTTGTCTGTTAACTCACTTGCGACTGGGCCCTTTCACCAGTCACAAGCGTTGAAGACTGGCGTTTTTGGGGGTATTTCAATAAATCACCACAACTCTCAGAATTACCCTATTGTAATCATTTTTTGACACAGTAAAGTAACATTCAAGCTTAATCTAATACAAAAAACTAAAGTTGTCTAAGTCTAATACTTTAATTTGTATGATTTTAAAAAAATTGGCATGAATTTGATTTTCCGAAAAATTTCCAGAGACGTGACAAGTAGAATGAAATTCCTGCAACAACAAAAATAAAAGTTCAAAGTGTTCTGGTTTGATTTGTATACATGTGCGAGTGTTTGGTGAAAATATAAAAGCTGGTCTGTGCATTGATTCAGACCCATACACTGAATTACAGGAGACAGATGTACGGCACGACGTTGTGATTTCGTTGCGCAAAAAACAACACCGGTACTAGTGCTAGATCTAGCCCTAGAACTACGACTCGGGCCGTGTTCGGGTACATATCCAGGATCCTAACTATTAGACACATCATATTCTGAGACACTAGAACTAGTAAAACGCACAGAAGTATAGAAAACGGCGAAATTATGTGATTCTTGTTCATGCGACTTCTTCGACCGTTACTACGATGCGACTGTCGGATTACTATCAGCTGTATAGAAAAAAACAAAGCGCGAGTTCCGGTCTGTTCAACCCCAGTTGGGGTCACTGTCCTTCACCTTCAATAACTTAAAAACTACCGGCCCCAGAGATACGAAACGAAGTCTAAGTAGCTCAGGCTTGGCCAAACAAGGGTATGAGGCGGGTCTCGCGATCCGTGCGTGATTTGTAGAGCGAAAAAAAAATTCCAAAGTTGGTCACGCAGGGCTTGTGAGACCCGTCGCGGCGGGGGTCACGCAACTGTTGTGTGGTGTGACCCGTCTGAAGTGAGTTAACTCCTATTTAGTTTTGCATTTTGATCCCTGGAGTAGTAAATAGATGCTATTTTTCAAACTTCTACTATTCGCACATGAAGGGAAAGCACCTTTGCCACTAATTACTCTTTTTGTAAAGGTGACTGCCAACCTTTGGAATTGGAAACAATTGTTGAGACTCGGAAATTCATGGAAGTCAATAAATTGAATTGACAAAATAATTGTCGTCTCCGAACTTTATAACCCAACCTGATTAGGTCATTAAGCTCACCTTTTGCCAAGTGTTTTTGTAGCATTTTATGTGGTCTTTTTGAGAGTGAGTTTACCCCAACAAGTGCTTTTGGCAGAAGTGTAGCTATCACCCAGAATTCTCTGATGGTGTATTAATACTGGTAATAGCCAAGACCTGAAGCATTTGCACTTAAAACACAGCGTCATGTTGAAAATGATCTACATTCGTCTTTCTTAGTGACTGACACTTTTGGCTAATGACTTTTTGTTTGTGTTCTTTTATTATAGGAGATTGAGGTGGCAAGTGTGGATGCCTTTCAAGGTCGGGAGAAAGATTTCATTCTCCTGTCTTGTGTGAGGTCCAACGAGCACCAAGGCATTGGTTTCCTCAATGATCCCCGACGTCTGAATGTGGCTCTGACAAGAGCCAGGTAACTCGCGCCCTCGTTTACCACCATCTAGTCCTCTCACCAGGCTATATTAAGTACACAGTGTGTCTTTGTGGGGTTACCTAGCTGAGAAAAAAATGTATAACTTTCAGCCCAGTCACGTCTGAATGAGAATTTCCCTCTATTTGACTTGTATGAATGTCATCAGAATTGGCGACATTTTCAATAACTTCTGAAATATCCTTATAATAAGCTGGTCCACTTTGACTTGTATGAATGTGATCAGAATTGGCAACATTTTCAATAACTTCTGAAATATCCTTATAATAAGCTCATTCAGCATCTCACAGCTAGGTAGGATTGTTTTGCCACAGTCCATTCAATTTAAATCATCAACAGTATGACTAGAGTGCTAGGTTATCTTTATCGTTGTTTGTACGTTGCACAAAATTTTTTTTTTTTTTCAAAATCCAGAAAGGATGAATTAACTAAAAGATTTTTCCTTTACATTGTTTCGAAAACTTATTTCCTCAGATATGGTGTGATTATTGTTGGAAATCCAAAGATCCTGTCGAGGGTTAGTTTTGCAAAATTTTTTCTTCATTTGTGTGTTCTTATATCATATTCTTATAATTTTGTGAATGAACTTTTTATATGCTAAGAATTCTGTCTTTTAAATTTGTGTGATTTTCTATTATTTAAAAAAAAAAAAAACGACTTTCAGATTTGTGGTGATAAGAGAATGGATAATGAATACATGTTCTTTGGCGGATCAATTTATATCCTTTTAAAAAGTAGATCTGCCTTTGTGCACATGAGCTTCATATGAGCATTCCAGTGACTAGGTAGATCTTTTCGGTTTTGACAATGGTTCCAACACTTATTGTATACATTTCCCATGATTTATTGTGTTTATAAACATGAAAAATTAGAGTGATTAGGCTTTCCCATCACATGATAGTGACATTGTTTTTTGATGTTCAGGACATGCAGTGGAAAGTTCTCATTGTGTAGTAAAAGGGTTACCTGGATTGTTTGAGTTGTGTGATCCATAGGTCAATTATAAATGTATATATATATTTTTTTATCTCAGCAAACTTTGTGGTGCCACCTCCTGACTAACTACCGGGAGCAAAAAGTCCTAGTGGAAGGCCCATTGTCCAGCCTAAAGGAATGCTTTGTCAGCATCAGCAAGCCACGCAAGCTTGTGAACACCACCAACCCGGTTAGTTCTATTTATGACCGCTCACTCTTTTTTGATGTGTCACGACGCGGTAGAATAAGCTGCTTGTTAATTTTTGGGCAAATGGAATTATTGGTTAAATTTTAAAGCTTACTAATTTGCCTTGCTTTTGGGGGAAAAATCAACTCACCTATCTTGAACAGAAGTGGAGATATTTGCATTGAAGGAGGTTGTCGCTTGATGTTGGAGGTAAAATTGACAAGGAAATGGCTGAGTTTGGTGATTTTCAAAGCCTAAGTGTCCTGGAAACAGCAAATATACATGTTATGTGCCTTTGATCAGTTTTTCAGTTAAATCTATGCAGAGAAGCCCCTAAATTAGAGCAACAAAAATTCGAATAAGATTATTCAATAGGCAGAAAAATGTCTATTTCTTAGATATTACTTTGACGATGGCCTTATTTCATCACGCTGCCACACTTATGAGTTTGTACTGTGTTTTATATTTTTATTTGCCATGGCACTTGACGTCGTTTGTTGTACCACATAGTATGTCTAGTGAATTTACTTTTTGTTGGTGGTCCGGTATAGTACTGTTAGTACCACAGAATTAATGCTTTGTGTGAATTCTGTGATTGTGTTTGTATGAATTCTCGGCAAAGTTAAAAAAAAGTTTTTGTGAGCTAAGAGTTAATTATGAATACTGACTGTGATTAAGTAAATAAAGACTTGTTTTGTTATATCAAATTTGACATCTTTTCTTCCAAAAGGGAGGGCGCTTTATGAGCAACACCATGTTTGATGCAAGGGAGTTGTTGGTGCCTGGGAGTGCGTATGATCGAGGTAAGTCAGGTATGTCATGCATGTTTTCTTTCTCAACTGAGATACATGCTTGTTGATTTACTAGAACATGCTCTTGTGGTCTACGATTCACTTTTATTTTCAAAGAATGATGTTAGAGAAGTTGCTCAAGTTTGTTCTTTTCTCTATTCATAGTTTGTTTTGGCAGAAGGTTAAAAAAAGAGAGTTGCTTCTTCATTGGATGCATTTGGTTCATTCTAAGCCCCTGTTTTCTAGTTTTGAGCTCTTTTCCTCGATTGAAATGATGAACACTTCCCTTTCTATGTCTGTAGTGTGGCTATTCGTTATAGGTCATTGTTTCAGTAAGTGGTGATGGAATTGGTTTGTGCGTGCATTATTTATTTAATAGTTGTATGTTGTTTGATTGTCATATTTCAGATATTTTTCTCTTGTAGTTTGTAACCTGATTTAGCTCTTACTTATCTGTGAATTGTTTGGGTGGAAAAAAGCTTTAGTGGATTTTTTTGTACATGTTTTTTTATTTCGAGCTCCATACCCTCTTCAATGCTCAAAATGGTTTGATTAAATGGAACTGCAATTTTTTCTTTTGATATGTATATATAGCCTATATATATATATTTATTGTTTTTTTCATTTGCATTGGTGCAGGAAACACGTCATACAGGGAGCCAGTGTTGCAGACCCACGATCAGCTGGGCTTCATCGGACCAGAGAGGGCCTACACTCGGTCTGCCATGAACCTTCCAGTTCCTGTGAATATGTTTCTGCAGCAGTCGATGCCACAGTTCAATAGTCCAAGCCAGCCTTCACAAGGTACATTTGTTTAATATTTTTGAAGTCCTGATTTGTTAGTTATTTAAAGGTATGTTTAGTTTAGTATGGGGTTTTACGGCTCTCGCAACTGCATATGGTCATATGAGGGCATTTAAAGGTATGGAGCTTTTGGTTACCCAGTAGAAGAATAGGACAAGAGGAAATACTTCAGGAAAGAAAGGTGGGGAAAAGTATAATATTGCTATGTTCCAGGGTGGGCAGTACTGTGTGTTGGAGATGTTGACAAGTTAAAGCAGACGTTTTCACTAAATTACTGCCAGTCTCCTATTGCATAAATACACTATTTTGTATTAAAAAGTTCTGTTATTTCAGTAGTGAAGGGTCATGAGGTTGTGAAAAAAGTTGTTATTCGATTTCTTAAAAAAACCCTTTTGTTGTGACGTTTGATGGTTTTGTTTTTCCTTCACGATTATTACAGTCCCAATGTAGGTTTTTTTCCACTGTGTTCCAAACCTGTGACTGCATATTTTTCTTTTTTTCTTCTTTTTAAGGGAATAGCCAGAAGCCAGGGCGTGGCTGGAGTGGCAACCGGCGCCAGAAAGCAACAAAGGCTGGTGTCCCAGGCAACAGCACCCAGTCACAGAGCCAAGCTAGCCAGGTGAATGAAATACTCTAAAATAATTAATGCTGAGGCTGGTGGACAGAACAGGAAAAAGAATTGGTGATCTTTGTTGTTTTTCCATTTGCTAATTTGAAAAAAAAAATGTAAACTGATAATTTATCAATTGTGGAAGAGATTAGTAAGATCCTCTAGAATAAGTTATTAGAAATTTTCTCGTTTTTGTTGCCAAGTGCTGAAAAACATTGGAAATGGCCTTTACCATATAGATTTGTAATGTTGCTAACATATTGGGTGTTTTTTGCACAGGAGTTCTCCCAAGGCCCGCTCACGCAGGGCATGTCCATGAGCCAGCACTTCCAGATGAGCCAAGGTCTGAGCGGCCTGTCCCAGCCCGGGCTGAGTGGACTCTCCCAGGCCGACCTGTCACAGGTGGGGTCTTGTGCTTGTCAACTTTCTGTGCAGTGTTGTTTGAGCTGTTTCGATTGTGACTACCGTCAAGGTCTTTTTTTTTGTGTTCTTTACCACAGTGTCTTGTGTACTGAGTCAGGTAAACTGGAAAAGGGGGGGAGGGGGTTGCTGTTGGCATTAGTGACGCAAGTTTTTAAAAACTTTTACTGTGTCCAACTGTTGCAAGCCAGGTTTGTGAGCAGTTGGGTTTTTTTTGGGTTTTTTTTTTTTATGGTGGTCCCTTTTAAAATTAAAGATTTGTGTGGTTCGAATATTTTCGTTGTCACAGATTTCAAATCTTTATTTAGTTTTCTAGTAAAGTTCCTTTCAAGGTTGTTGTAGAACAGTTATAAAATTGTGTTTGGTGCATTGACTCCTTGCTTGTGATTTTCGACAAGCGGTGTACGGGAGTTGTCAAAAGGCGGTGTTAAAAGAATTTATTATACTTTTTTTTTTGCGCTGTCCCATACTTCAGTTGGTCTCAGTTAGTGTTGTTTTTCCTTCCCAGTGTATCATGTCATGTGTTTGTATGTCTACTTAGTAGAGCTAAGGAATTGTATTTGTGAGACAGCTCTTTTAATGAGCAGCTGTTTCTCTAAAATCTTCCTGCAAGTAGTGTGAAAAATTATCTTGGAAGATTCAGCGTCAATTGGGACTATTTAGGCAGATGTACCACAGAAATAATCAAGTATGATTTGCAATGTTTGCGGTAGAGAACGTTTTCTTGTTTTTTTTACTGGCAAGGCAGGGAGAAGAGTTCACCCTATCCGTACGTCGTGTTATACCATCGTATCCATACAACGTGGGGAACTTTGTGCCACCACTTTCCAAAGAGGAAATTTACTCGTTAATCCAATCCGTATGCTTTGCATAGCAGTTGGTCAAAATGATTTTTTGAAAAATACTGAAAGTTTCAAAGATCTTCGTACTAGAAGTATTATAAAATGTGAAGAATACAACCCCGGGGGTACAAAATGACCCCTAGGGTTAAACAGTAAGACAGTTAGTTTTTTTCCCCCCGACCTTGATGCTTTGACCAGAATTCTTATTGTTATTATGTGAATGAGCTTCTCTTTCTTTTAGTTGTGCAAATGGCTAATGAAAAGGTTCAGTTGTAACAGAATTGTGCCTATGTTCACAGGACAGCTTCATGGCGGATGACTTCCGCTCTCAGATGGATGTTCTCCTGTCCCAGGACTCGACCTACCAGGGCGATCGCTTCTACCTGACCTCCCAGCTCTCCCAGGGCCCGTTTAACTAGGCGGCTGTGAGATGTTTCCCTCAACAAGCAGGTACCTTGCTACCTACTTTCCCCCTCCAAGGCCAGGTAATGCAGGCTCGGCTCACCACTAAGATACACAGTAGCATGCGCGAGAGCACCACCACATTGAGTTTATGCGAGCTGGACGGTGGCTACTACAGATGATTGTCAGTTTGAGGTCAGCTCTACCTTAGGAGTGTGAATCAACCGTGAGACGCGTCTAGCCTCAGCGGAGATGGAAGTCGGTGACCTCGAGGTGGAGACTGGCTGGACAATCGGTGGTCAGTGCACTCTCAAAGAGTTGAAGACAGACCCACAGAAATGACAGAAACTCCCGCTCCATTTGCTCAGCTCGTGCCAGGGACTTGCATCAAAAACTCGGAACTTCAGGAAATTCTACTGATTGAGATGTCTGTAATGCCATAACCTAGTCGTTTTGAATGCTCTTCTCGGTTCCCGTCTTATTTAGCGAAACCTGCAAGAACCAAAGGGTTGGAAAATGTTTATGGCTTTACTTGGTTCCCTGTTGTCAGCTTTCCTTATTAACAGAAGTAATGTCAGTCAGAGGTTGAGGAGGAAGGGTATCCTGGCTTCTTATCTAAGGCAACGTCGGCTTTGCTTGGGCAATGCAAGTGTTGCAGGTTTCAAGACCTGGGTTTTTCTCTGTGATGCTACTTGGACCTCCTCCTCTCAGGGCCTGGTAGCTGACTCAGGTTGAATGAGGGCACAGCTCATGGGTGAGAGACAGGCGCGTCCAACAAGCAGGTGGCACTTATGTACTCGTGTGGTGCATGCAGGCTGTGCTGAGGAACCAACTCCAGCATTTTACTGAAGTGGCAACCAAGTATTGCTACATTACCCCCCGTCCCCGAACCTATATTTTCTTTGATGGTGGAATTTTTGTTTTTCTTTTACTACTACATGGGCCCTTTTTGTTTTCTATATGCATTGATTATTTTTCTCTAGAACCCAAGTACACTATTAAGTACTTCTTAAGACTACAGCTATGTGAGTGGCTTTTTAAAAATTGACCTTTTAGTAGGAAAAAAACAAATGTTAAAGTAGATGTAAATGGGGTAGGAGAAAAAAAAGAAAAGAAATGAATATTATGTCTTGTAACCAAGAAAGTTTTTATTGTTGAAATGAATTGATAGGGGAAAAAAGTATAATTAGGCAAACAGTTTATATTTTACGATGCGAACCATTGTTATTACATATTTGGCCTTATTTTTTTTGGTCTACTTTTGTCACTGCTGTTTGGACTTGTCAGCGTATACAATAAAACTACATGCAGAGGTCTACTCTTTTGTTTTTCTTCATTCTGTTGCTGGTGTGGAAGAAAAAATGGCTTCTATCTCGAAGGAAACTTTTTTTGGGGGGACCATGTATTCTGATTTTATGTTGTTAAGAGTTACAAGAAAGTGTGCTTGATGGGATGTTAGTCCAGGTTGGTGTTCAACTGTTCAAACACTAATGCTTTTGTCTCTCATAAGCATAACAGGAAGGACAGGATACTTCTGTTTTCTGTTAGTTTTGGTGTTTTGAGAAAAATGACAAAAACTGTTGCACTTAAAAAACAGAAGATGCATATATTTTTTAAATATTTTAGTAAAATTCAACGTTTAACACAACTTTTGACAGAAATCTGAGGAACTAATAAAATGTGAGGCAGCGTGGTGAAAATCAGACGCTCGTCAAAATAATGAAAGTGGAGGTACTGGTATTTTTGCGCAGGTTTGGGAATTTTTATCGAATTTTTGTTTTTCGACTTAGCACATTTTGTGCCCATTAAAAAACACATTGTGAATGGCACTCCTATGACCGTATGCAGTTGTGAGCGCCGTAAAACCCTGTACTATTTAAAAAAACAAAACACATTTCAGTGTGGATTTTATGGAAGAATGTTATGCATAAAAGATGTAAATTTTCAGTTCCCACAGGCTCTCAAGCTAAGGAAATAACTAATCTTTGGCGGCCATTTTTTCACTAATTTTACCGCTCGGATTGTATCCAAGATAAATGGAGGGTTTTTTTCATCGAAAGAAAGGCAAATAGAAGTGTTTTAAGATGATGCCAATAACTCCATATGTCAAAGAATTGACAAGCGCCTGATTCCACTGCGTCATGATACAAATTATCTAGATGTAGCCATAGCTCAGTTTGCCAAAAAAATGACATAGGCAATTATCGAATGAGCATGATGATATGTGTGTGTGCCTAATGAAAGGTACCAAAAGTCGGATTTTGACCATTTTGAGTTAAGGATATTCAATGCTGAACACATTGGTTTTTTAATTTTTGAGATATTGCACGTTTTGTGAGGTAGGGTATAAAGATCAAATTTTGAGAAAATTAAGTTTAGAACACATACAAACTTGAAAAAAACGATGATTCAATTGTTTCTAATGTATTTATTTATGGAAAATTCATTTCCGATTTGGCATTCAATTGACATCAATATCATGATAGGAATTCAATGGTAAAACAGCGGCGAAGAGAAAACATGCTTCAACTTGAAGAATAGATTTTAACACCTAAAAGCAGTTTTCATTTTCTCTTTAAAAAATACCCTAATCTCAAAATTATACAAAATAAAATATTTAGAAGTCAAATCAATGAAAACCCTTTTAAACACATTGTTAAAAAAAGTGGTGGAGATATCATTTTTTAAAATGGAAACATTTTGATCAAAAATGTGATTTTTTTGGTCATTATCAGCCTATAGCTCAAAATGGTCTGTGTCGACTTTTTGTACCTATCTTTAGGCACACACACATATTCACTTCATTTTCTTTGCAGAACTTGCGTCTAATCAAGTCAACTCATACCATGACAAAACAAGTCGCTTAAAAAATGGTGTAGGTTTAGCAACCCTGTCAACACTGATGAGTTTATCATCCATCTTGGAAATGGCTGGGCCAATAGGAAATCTGTGTAAAGTGCCTTTCTCAAGGACACAATGCTGGACTGAGCTCAGGCTCCCTAACCACTAGGCTGCTATGGAACAAATATCTTCAGAGGAAGAAGTACAAAATGTAGTAGCCAAGGGCAAAATTTATGGCATCTTGGCCAGCAGTCCAGGTTGTCTGAAGTAAACAAATTATCATACATGATGTATAGTGTTTTTGACATAACACTACAATTACAATTTTTACTTTGAACTTCATAGTTGCGTCTTCCTTACTTACAGGATGTGGACGCAGAATATGTAAAGCAAAAAAGTTTGTGATGTCGTGAATTACAGTCGAACCTGTCTTAGATGGAATCACAAGGGAATTTTTTTTTAAATTCTGTCTTGGGCAGGGGAATTTAGGAGAGGGGGGTTCCAGAAGCCCAGCCAGTGGGATGAAGGGTGGCTTGTCTGGTCAGCAAGCAGTGGTCGAAACCTCACACCTCTCTGTCTCTAGTGCTATCTTACCCTCACTGATAATGTAGCACTTGTCAGTCTTACTTAGCCAGTGCTTGCATCTCAAACGACCACTGTTGACCTATTAAAAATAGAAACAATTAATTGGGACGTCTCCTTTGCTTCCACCCTTAGCCCCACCCATTGGTGTAATACGTTTGTTTTTGAGGCGATCGAGTTGGGCGATCGGCCGATCCCAGCCGTAGTGGGCACCCTGTATTATTAGAGTTCAGTGTTATTTCCTTGAATTTTCCAGCATTTCTTTGGGATGGCAGCAAAGAAACGAAAATGCCTCTCATTTGAAACCAAACTACTTTTGGTTGGGGAAGTCGAAAAGGGGCAGAAAAGCAGGCATTTCACATGGTAACCTACCAATTGTTACTTCCCTTTTTACATTACTTGGTCGATGCCTGTGTAACTAGTAAAAAACCTCATGTTTGCTGTAACGAACACTCGGAATCAACGAAATTTAAGGTCAGGCCCGACGTCTTCGTTGAATCTGAGTTCCACTAATATATAATATAAATATATAAAATATACAACTTTACAAGTCTTCTTGTGAGGGTGTCTGCTGAGCCAAGTCCTGGTAGGGCCTTGCAGTTAGCTCACTTCCAGGTAGGCACTTTTCAGAATTTCCTCCAATTGTCCCCTAGCAAATTGGTACAGCACTTGGCAGTAAAAGATGCTGTGTATCTTGCAGGCTGCAACACTGTAAGTAAATTGGAACGAATGGGCCGGCCGAGGACAAAAAAGTGAAGGCCTTGTGGCGGAGGGGACCATATGACCAGTAAGTGGGATTCTTGCGGTCTAGAGGTACAAAGTTCCCCTCTTATCCAAAAGGTCCAAAGATCAACACCTGACAGTGATAAAAATCTCCAAAATGTTCTCCTTTCACCTCTATTTCTGTTTTGTAGTCCTGGTGTCATCTGCTTTCATCTCTACTTTCTCCCTCCACCCCCAGCCTCCCCTGTCCTTTATTCCTGACTCTTTCTCGGCTATTTCTTGTCTCCTTATGGTTTTTCAGCCACACCCCTGATCTTAGGATAGGTAAGATCGAACACCTAGCCTTTTTGGATAAAATTGACAAATCTTGGAGGTCCCATGTGCGAGTTGTGCACGGTAAAGATCCCTCTGTGATCCTAAAACTAAAATCGATACGAGTAGGCTTTGGCGAAAACCTGAGCAAAATTCAAACCTACTTCCAACCAAAACTAAAAAATATTAAATATGTATAGAGTACCTTCAAATTCAGAATGTGACTGCCTGAAGGCAAGGGGCCCTACAAAGTTGGAAAAACGGTCACATTTATGTGTAAAAATCAGTTGCACTGCAGGGTGAATAACCGGCAGTAAACTACTCCCAAGATATAGTAGGGGAACATAAAGTATAAAGACAGGATCACGTTGAATTGTGAACCCGCTACTTTGTTTCCCTGACCATCGCAGTTGTCATTCATCTCTGCGCCTGAATTTACTAGACAGACTGGATTTTACTTAGTGCAGTCACATAACAATGGTGCACTACAACAGGAGCTAGAAACTTGGTCAGAGATGGAAAGCTATAAAGTTTGGACTGGGATGGAGCAATTCGATCAATTCAATGTAGATTTGTCTTGAGACTAGTTTTAGTTTTAGTAAGGTTTTATGGTGCTCGCAACTGCATAAGGCCATATGAGCGCCAAGGGGTGGATGTCAACAGAGAAGTCCAAACAGGGAATCAGGCTCACTCTGCTCACCTCTCTAGCCTCAACAGCACAAAGTCTGCTTCGACTTCGACTATCAAGGCACCCCAGATATAGCAGTTCATAAGAGAGTGACAAATATACAAAAGAAGTACATTTAGAGGAAAAAGGACGATAGAAAGGATGAGGAAAAAAACCCCAGTTCCCCCTATGTTGTTCCGGCACAGTATGAGCATGACATTGATAAATCAGCCCAATATCAATTCTACTGTGCATAAGAACATGTTAATGGGAATGGCCTAGACGTGTCTTGAGACTGACGACTGGGTAAGTGAAAATGGTCACACCTCATTATAATTATACCATTGTAATTGGTCATCAAAGTTAACCAGTCCTTGCCCGCCAAAAGTCTAGTCATTAATCTACCCAGGGATCATGTCAGTACATTTCAGAGAAGATAATTCTACTGATTGTGGGCCAGACCATGATTCCTTGAGGATTCTCCCTATGATGATGAATTGGCGAAGATCCCGCATTTCCCTTGCTCCCAAGCACTGGGATCTCACTCTTAGGCAGAGAATACTGCACTGTCATGAACACTAAATATGACTTCTTGAACCTGGAAGTTGTGAATATGACTTCTTGAACCTTCAAGCGCATCCAACATCATGCTCATCAAATAGAAGCACTAAAACCTAGACAGGAGTGTCAATGCAGGACCATCTACACCTACGTGGCTATGTCTGCCTAAGTGGCATATAGAGTAAATTTTTATTTGAGATTTTTATTTTGTTTTGATGGAATGAATTCATACGTACTAAAAAAACTTCTCAAAACTTGTTCTTTCATCAGCAATGAACCCAACATGGAAAAGAGGTACTGAATAACACACTTCCTGTGTGTTAATCCACGAGAAAATATAGTTCCAGACACAGTTTGACCCCAATAACAAGGAAGTATCACAGCAGTCATTACTCACACAGTTTAAAGAAATGCTCTTTTTACTTTTACCATTTCCAAGCTTCTTTTCTGAGACGGTGCAAGACAAATGTAGATTTTAACAAAGTAGACTTGAAGTCTCACAAACATGAGCAGAATTTGCCCTTTATTTCAATAAGAACATTGTTAAAAATGAAAACCAACCTACAAAGCAATGACACAGAATGGAAACAACACTCCACAGCTACATTCTTTTTCTTTATCATAGTAACAACAACAAACTCAGGGAAACCCTCTTACATTGACCTTTCACACTGGGGAGTGACAATGTTATTTATGTCATTTCAAATGGAAATGAGAAAAATCTTTTGCCTCAGTGACATTTAACATGACTGCAACATTTGTCTAACACAAAGGCAGCAACTTCATGTGAAACACAACCAGGATGAGATACTGGAACAAGGCGATGTAACTGATTAGGATGAGGACATGGTATGAAATGCCAGTGATGCTTCAAAATATTACGTTGCTTAAGTAATACAAGGTAAATCAAAGATAAGGTCCCAACACAAATCAAATCAAATGAAAACCCTCAAAGTCAGCAGATCATGAAAATGTAAATTTAACGGTGTCTGTTCATGTCAAATAATATACATAATACTCCAGAACATGTTAAAACTTTAAAAAAGCACTACTACAACAAACAAACTTGGCAAAGTAACACATATAATTAAAATCCACAAAAAGAAGTAGGCCTACTAGCTGTATGGATTCACTATACATGTACACCCTGTACTAGCTACACCAGAAATGACTCATTCGTTCTCACCGTACAAGAAGAGACAGATGACCATGTTCCTTTGAAGTATGCCCCCCCCCCCCCCAAAAAAAAAAAAGTAAACTGTGAAAACAGAGTATTTGTTGTACACCAGGCCAACAGTCTCCAACAGCCCCAAATTCAAATCACACATAAGAGTTCACTAAAATAGTAAAACACAGAACAGCTCAAGACTCTCACTCTCATTATAATGTCCCTGAAAACTCGAAAGCAGCCCACCTTCATATTCACTGACCCACTTGCTATAAAAAATAGAGGCTGACCATTTTTATGAAAGCTTTATCTTTACCTCACTAATGTATTAACTAAAACTGTGGGGTGGGGCATTTTCCAATCAAGCTTAAAACAAGGCACAGAACTAAAGGGACATGAATTTTGATTTTCTGGTCAAATCATGAGTTTGATCAATATAAAATGAATATAGAAATGGAATGCATTTATATATACACACGAGCATGCTTGTGGTTAATTATGAATGCCTTCTATGAACCTCTCCCAACTTATTCATACAACAAGTACTTGCATAAAGAAAAGACAAGATAAGAGAAAGGATAACGTATCTGAGGAAACTGCATTCTCTGAGATGTTGTGTGATAAAAATCAAGTTCAGGTAAAGACTTAAGAATACTAAGACTGTGACATCAGTGCCAACATATTTTTCACAAACATGTCTCTTCCTCTGTACTGGAGACTTCAGGTTCTCTATGACAATGTACTTGGTCATTGACTTCCACAAATTTGTTGACACAAGTACTGCCAACTTTCCTGGCAATACAAAGGTGACAAAAACAGTTGAAGGGACGTTTCATTGCCGAGACAGCATTGCTAAGGGTGCTGCTAATATCGCCTTCATTGAACCCAAGTACGCAATACCAGAATTGGAACCCTCATAAACTCTACACATGCATGACAAAAAATGAAAAGACAGAGGAAAAAAACAATACAGGAAAAAAAATATACCTTTCATTCTGCAAAATAGAATCTTGTGGTGATGAAAATGAACAATTCCCATTTCTATCATGTTACAATGAGTACAAGGACGCTACAGTCATCATCTTATGATTGACGGCCGAGAAAGTCAAATGTTCTGGACAGCAGAAAGCTGCATTTTCCACATGTCTGATTTTAAACGTTTTGAGCAAGATATGCTGCTATAACATTTTCATTTCTATGTATAAATAACTGCCATTAAGGTACAACATTTGAAAAAAAGGGGAGGGCAAGGATTGGGAAAGCAACAAAACTAGCTCTCCTTTCGTCTGTCCTCTTTCTTCCAGAGGTAGACACTTTAGATCAACACGATCATCTTTTCTCTTTAAGTGCTTTATTTTCCCCTTTAAATCTGAGATGCCGGGCACCGTCAATTACACTTTTCTGCCCCTGTTGCCTGCGAAGTAACCAATGACAGGTTAACAAGCAAATTTCATAATACTGCTGATCTTGAGATTCAGATCGAGCCCCTGATCTTATCATTGTGAGTCCTGCATGCTAACCACTAGACTTTAGACTATTTCTAGAAATGATACTAATTTATTGGCAGCAGCTTAATAGTTTCAGTTACCCTGTTAGCGTTTTCTGTTCAAATTTGGTTCAGAGAATTCACATGAACTGAGAAAATGAAAGGAGAAAAAAAAGAAAACGAATGAAACAGCCCCAAAAATTAGAGCCAACAAAATCAAAATCAGAAAATCATAGAAAATTCAGTTACCAAGCAATATCATAAAAGCTTCTTCTCAATCACCAGCATTATAATACTATCTTAGACAAATGTAATAACATAGCTGCATAGGGACAGAGGCTTCTGGACATCACACTCTTTCGATACATTTTCATTCATAAACCAGACAGACATGAAAATTATTCATCGCTCAAAATTATCTCTTGGAGATAAATATAAAAATGCTCACACCAGTGGCCTGGTTGACTTTCAATTTTACAACAAGTCAGCCAATCAGCTGTCTCCTTATCAATCAATGACAGGTGTTCTTCATAATAAAAAATTTGTTGCTCTCTCTTGAAGTGGCAATACAAAAAGTAAAGACTTAAATCGTTAATTCACACCTATCAAAAATTTAGAAGAGACAATTCAGAAAATTTTCTCAAGATGGTTCCTCTCTATACAAAAGGCCCAGATCAACGAACACAACAGCAAGAGTGTATGTGCAAGTTTTCCAGGGACCAAAATGAAAAATGACCAAACACCAACCCAAACATTAACAATCTCAGAATAATCCCTTTAACAGCTCTTACAAGGGCTTCTTTTGATGACTGAAGTAGGATCTTGACACACATGCAGCAGCAATACTACATATGTGTCCAGGTAGGTTCCAACAATGCAATTCCTGTCACAGGCAAGAAACATTGCTATGAAGTTGTGTGCTCATAGACAGGAAACACCGTGAGAACAGGTTCACCACAGGCCGTCATTTCCGGGGATATTATCCCCCCTGGAAATGATTATTTCATATGTCCAAAATGTATGCTTTTTGAAAAAGGAAAAACTGTCAATATACAATTTTTTTTTCACCAAACTTCTTGTGATTCTGTCAAACTCCGATGCTTGCATTATTGACACTACGTACTAGCCAATAATACCATGTGATACACTTTGTTCTACTGATCACGATGATATAAATATCAAACAATCGCTGAACCATGACTCTCAACAGTACTAGCTACAGTTGGTGATACGTCCCTGAGCACTTTTCATGAACTGACTCAACATTTTTCCAGTGCTCAAGTATGAAAATCTGAAAGAATGTGACTATCATTTCACACAAGAAAGCTCACCGTAGTCAATAATTGGTGTCGCTTAGCATAATGAGGAACAAAGTGACAAGGAAGGTCAATATTTCCTGAAACTAGGCCTGCGCGGAGGCTCCATGTGCTGTGGCCCGCTAGCGTACGACCCAAAACGACCCTGGTTGAATTGTTGGAACATAGCGTCGCGATAGGCTTGGGTGTAAGCCTCCACTGGATCTCTGAACTCTTTTGATCCACGTTCGTTTCTGTTCATAGGTTTCCTGCTTCCATAGTCTCTGTCTTCAAGCTGGTCATGCTTTCTATCGTCATAGCGGTCATCCCTATATTTATCGTCAAACTTGTCGCCTTTATCCCGACCTCTGCTGCCTGAGCGAGAATCCACCCTCTTGACAACACTCCCAACATTCTTACTGTCATTTCCAGAGTCGGAAATTCTGGAATCTTCATCATCACTGTAGTTGCTGCGCTTGTGCTTTTTCTTCTTCTTATGCCGATGTGATCTTTCCTTTTCTCGTGACCTCGACCGTGACCTTGACTTGTGAGAGGATTTTCGAGACCTCGAGGACCATGACGGCGCATCTTCCATGACAGTATCTTCGTCTATCATGTCCTCCTCGTCCAGATCATCCTGCACGGTTAGGGTCATTAAGTTGGGTCGCTCAGGGTTGGGCACAAACACATGAGACTTGAGCGAGCTCTGAGCTGACGTCTTCTGCTTTAGTTTCTGAGCAAATTCTGCTTTTGCCTCCCCACCAAGTTCCCCTCCCACAGGTCCCACCTCCCTATCTTCATCCTCGTCACTGACAATATCCATGGCATCTGGATCCATAACGGATGTGGACGGCTTGGGAACTGACGGTGACTTAGAACCCGACTTTGACTCAAAGCTGTCTGCAGGAACCAGCTCCTTTAGGACAGAGTTGTGTGCTGACCGTCCACCCCCCAGCAGATCTGAACCTGGACTCACACCTGACTCGGGCCAGTTTTCTTTCTGTCCCGGAGATGTCTGCTGAAAGCCAGGGGGCGGGTTTGAGAAATCTGGAGTAGCAAGTCCAGCAGTGAGCGTGAAAGGGGGAGGAGGCGGTGGAGGCATGGTGAGGCTCATGCTCATGCCTATGGGGGGAGGAACCGGCATTGGTATGGGAGGAGGGACCATTGTTGGGGTCCTCGGGGGGAACTGGGTGGGTGATGTCGGCTGTGCTGGAGAGTAGCCCAAGGGAGATGACGGGTGAGAGGGCGAGGTGTTCACTTCGTTTGATTTCGACTTCCAGGACGCCCAGGATTGCGAGCCCGTGTCAACGTCCCTGGAGGAATCCCGGTCCAGGGTCGTCGCAGATTTGCCAACATTGGACAATAATGTCAAACTATCCAAGAAACTTGGAGTCCCACTCTTTGTCGTTGGGTTTTTCTGTGTTTGAGAAATCAGCCGAGACAAGAAATCAATGGGGTTCTCTTTCTTGGGAGGAGTATTTCTCTTGGGTGGAGACGCAGCGTGCTCATCCTGTACGGGAGTGGTGGGGGTCTCATCATCTAGGGGAGTTGTTCCCCCTTCATCATCCAGCTTGAAGGACTTACTGTTGGAGGACGCCAGGCGAGGCGTGTACACTGGTGGGTTGGACGATTCTGACTGGTTGTTCCGGTCAAAGAAACTTGCCAAACGGGATTCAAAGCTGGCACTCGCTGTGGAAAATGTGGAATAAATATCAAGGAAGCTGACTAAAAAAACTTGAAAAGTTCTTTCTAATCCAAGAAGAATAGTTTTAATTTTAACTCATAAGAATATTCTCCAATCTTCTACAATTACCAAATATTTATAAAATATTTTCAGGATATTGCTTCCATCCCTCTTGACTTTCCTTTCATAACCCTAGACTTCAGAGCTACACTCTGAGGGTAGAGAGGGTTATTCTCTCTCCTAGTATAGATGATAATGTAGTATAGCTGAGGTTCGCATAATCCCACAGACAGCATAAATTTGACCATCTTCTAAAATCAAAGGTATTGTTGTGTAATTTTGATTAGAAAATATCAATACTGTGATAAGGCTTCACACTATGACACAAAACTGAACGCTAGTAAACAGAAATCTCTGCCTGTTTGAGCAATATTGAAAGCTGACCACATTTTCCATTGTGAAAAAATGTGCCATAATACTGCAGAGCAAAAGAAAAGATATAATGTACTTTACTGATCTTCCAATGGTTGAAATATACACAGAGCTTGCATGAGCTGCTATCACACAGAAAATAGATACACAGCATCATACCAACACAGTCACATAAACACGAACACACAAACATGTATACATAAAGACACACTTTCCACGACCAAAGCACAACTGTATCCACCAAAGGCAACACAGCCCGTGGGCTCAATGAAAACAAATAAGCCGAAAGCTTGGCAGCTCAGTTTGAAACGGGCTAAAACAAGTCACAGAGGAGAAAAGATGTAGTCTCAACAAAGCAAACTAAGATGCTCTTAAAAAGCTCCTTCAGATACACAGAGAACAGTAGGCCTATCATCATGGAAAACAATTCAGAAGAATCTGTCCCATGGGGAATCAATTAATGGAACCAAACTGACTAGTTGTTTGAATCCAAACACATTCCAAGAAATTGCATGGCTCAACAAAAGCCCTAAAGGTTTTCATATACCTTATTATAATCAATATGTAGCAAGAGAGCAACTCACTTGTTTCTGAACCTCCCAAGTTCAGGTCTGGAGGAGACCCCTCAGGTGATGGTGCTTCAAGAGGCGGTGATTCTGCAAACAAAAAGGTAGCAAAAATTTACCCACAGATATGATAAAATTCTCTTATTCGTTTGAAGTTTATTAACAAAACAAACGTACAACATACATCATCAACACTTGTCAAAAGAATGGTTCTTTCCAAAATGGCTACTAACTGACTGAAACGCACCATGCATGGGACAAAAGTTTTAAATATAGGGTAAAGATAAGGTATTTGTGCTTTTTGAGGAAAGGAACTTTCACAAGAATTATTTTGTACTTTGCCTCCAGCTCTAAATTCAAGTTATACAACAGGAGTCACCAAAAAAGGTAAAGTGTAGAAGCAACAGATCAAAAAATCAAGACATGGGCAAAACACAAACATTAGCTACAATTTTCATACCTTGAAATGTGTTGTCATCATTTAAAGAGTGACCCACACCAGTGACCCCATCAGCACCATTGTAATTCCAAGCTGGGAACAACAAATTCACAACATCATTATCTACTTTACAAATAAAAACAAGTGCAAGTCCCTGTGTGTGAGTATAAACAAATTTAAATGACAGCAGCAGATGACTGAAAAACTGACATAATTATTACCAATAAACAAGTATGCTCAAGTCAAAATTTCATCTTTTTAAGACACTTACAGCAATAAAACTTTTGTCCAGAGATAAAAGACAGTAGTTTTGCCTTTGCCTGTCTAAAGATGATGCTGTCTCAGTACCATCTTTCCACCAAACAATACAAACAAAAAAAGCACCAACATGAACTTGAGACCACAGTAACCAGGCAATGAACCTTTTCACAATGTATAGAAACCCAATCTTATTTCTTTCAAAGACATGGGAATTGATAAGAGAAAAATAAAACAAGTCCTACCATCCAGAGGATAGTCCATTGAGGGCCTGGCAGGATTATAACCATAGCTGGAAGTTCCAACATGAGGTGGAGTGTTGCCCGGGGATGGGGCGTTGATGTCTGGAGATGGGATGGGACTGTCTGGTTCTGGCATGCTTTTCTTCAGCTCGTCCAGCCTTTTTTTCATATTGTTTATTCTGGCACCAAAGTTCTTGTACGCCTGAGGACACAAATAGAAATTCAGTGTTTTGCATCTTTTGAGATATTTTTCTGAACGAAAAGAAGAAAAAATATATAATTAATTTCAGTTTTATCAGCAAATCATAATAGGTTCATATAGCACTCAAATTGCCAAACGACAATTTTGTCTCATAACAGAACAAGAAGACAAAACTGAAAAACAGAGAATATGCTGTGCCCTAATTGAAATTTTAAAGCACAAATATTTGGTGCTGCAATTATACAAATACCCACAATCCTTTAATAAGTAACAGTATTTTTGTAACCAGGTATACATATGAACGTGACACATAACTTTAAACACTTCAAGCTGTACTGATAATTATAATTCAAAGGATACAACAGACATCCTATATCACAAGCTTTTACTCACATTGGCCACAATTTTGGCTTCCCTGTACTGCTCCTCGTAAAATGTCTCGCTTGTCTGCAAAGTGTCCAACAATGCTCGCTGATCCTCAAGATGCTGGGCTTGCCTTTTCACTAGATCCTCCAGCTTCATGCAAGAGTCCTCAAAATGACTGGAGAAATCATTTCCATGTGCTCTGTCTGTGAAAAAGGAAATTAATTTAAAAAGCACTGCAAGTTTTAGAGAAGTCAAGAATGCTGAGCAAATACAGTTAAATTCCAACAGATCTTCTCTCTTTTGATCTGAAAATGCACACATGCTGTAGTAAGGGACTCAAAAGATGCTATAATTAACCCTTTGTTTTATACCTGAGTCAGTTTAGCTTGCCCTTGACATGGCTCACTCGTTTATAGTCATAACAAAAGTCTATGGAACTCCAGCAAATCCATTTTATCTATGATCAGACCGTATATTGATTGGATGGAGCATTCATTTCCACTCAGTGTGGTGTTATTTTTTGCTAATTCGTTAAAAAGGGGAAGCGTTATAAGTTATAGGATAGTTTGTGGTGCTGAAAGGTTAGATGATAAAATTGCTTCCGTACAAAAGTGAAATAACACTCCTGAAATCAAAGGGTTCATTACAAAAGCTATAAAATTGTACTTAATAGCTCAGCATAGCCTATATCCACAGAGAATACTATCGAAGAATTAATGCACTTTGTCATTTTTCCACAGGAGTGAACACAAACATACAAGAATTTTACATAGAAGACATGCCCAGGAGAAAAGAAGGAAAAAAGAAGGGAAGACCCCCCAAAAATGTGTCTACTAATAATAGCTTTAAATAGCAAAGTTAATGAGTGTATAGCATCTATCTCTCTAGTTGGAGCATCAATGACAAAACACAATGAAAAATGGAGAAAAAAAAAGACAAGAAAGACATGCTTGCCACAGACACGGATTAAAATACAGTACTCAACCGTTTCAATTTTTCATTAAAAACATTACATGCTACATGCTATTGAAAGTAATGAAAGCTACAAAAATGCTAACAGCGTTGTCAAACGGTATTTAGAAAAAAGAGTGAGTGGGTTTAACGCCCCCATTAACACTATGTGGTGACTTGAGAGGGAGTGACCTCTAAATTTAAAGTCCATCTCTGTGAGGACCCAGCCAAAAGGGATGAGAGCCTTGAAAACTCAATAAAGCATTAAAAAAAACTCAACTTTGGATTTGAACCAAAGCCATAAGCTCATAGAGCACCCAGAGACTGACTTTCAACCTCAGATCGCGATCCCAGTGCACTGAGGTCACGATATTGTGACACAGGGAGGAGATTATAGAACTCATGATTTCCCCAGTAGATAGTTCAAGGGAAACAAAAATGGAAAAATGCCAGACAGATCCCCTTACCTTTCAGGTGTTTGATCGCTTCAATACTTGATGCATCCAGTCTCAGGTGAGACAGCTGACTAACTTTCATCTGTATCTCAGACTTCTGGCGCTGGAAAGCTGTTATTTGGTCTATCATCTCGTGAGGCTGAGGAGTAAAAAAAAAATTATTAAAAGAAATTCCCCTCAGGCTGAATATAATCTTTCAAATGAAATCATATATCTGTTCATTATATCATTAAAATAAATCCCCCCAAAATCACATTTCTAGTTCTGGGCTTCTCTTTGTGAATATGAGAATATAGAAATAGAGTAAGAAAGGTTCACAAAACACTTCCCACATTCAACTAAACCTATCTGATCATATAGCAACCTGGTCCTTCCAAGAGTAGCAAAACAAAAGGTAACTAACAACACTATATATTAAACAAAAACTCATAATAAAACACTTTAAAGGCACACACAACTAAAGCCACCAATATTAAGTTAATCAATCTCCTTTGAATCTATTACTACTTAAAGTCTTTAGTTTTGTTTAGTAAGAGTTTTATAGCACTTGCAACACAATAAGGTCATATAAGTGCCGAAGATTCAAGGTATTACAAGAGAGTAATAAACACAAAAGAGGAGAGATCAGGATGATAGATGATGTTTGATAGGAAAGAAGGAGCAGACCACACCAGAGCACCCACCTACAGGTGTCAGAGTAGATAACATAAAAATATTTAAAATAATAATAACAAAACACATCTTTTTGTTGGTGCTTGCTCCCCATCATATGGGCCTACCCTTGTTTAGTTTTGGGTTGTTGTTGTTTTTTGCATGAGTATACAATTAGGAAATGTCTCATTTGCATTGCAGATGCATACACTCTGATAAGCCAGACCTGCCACTCTATGAAATCTAAAAATCAGGATCTGGTGAAAAAAATAGGGATCAATGGCAAATCAGTCATGAAGGCCTTTTGGGGTGGGGTGGGGTGGGTTCCCGGTTCACTTTTTGTGAGGCAAGCATGCAAGACAAAACTTTTGCCGGAACAAATTAATATTTGGGCTTCAAAGTAGAGGAATTTAACTGAAAGAGAGCATGTACTCCAGTCAAGAGTTGGCTAGACTGGGGGAACGCATGTTACAGAGATGCTGAAACTCTTGCAAGTCTTGAAAACAGCTTACACGTAACTAGAATCACCCATACAATAGGCACGCGTTTTCATACAGGAACAAGGTTTGACTTCCATCATGTGTACACTCAAGGCATCCCCAATCGCGCCATCCTGCACAGACCTCAGTTCCAATCAAATTTAAAATTTGGTTCCAAAGTTGTTTATTTTTTTCCTTTCCTAGTTCCTTTATCCTGAATAAGTAATGTAGGCCTACCACATCAAGCACTTCAAGCCCAAGAGTCTATCTCCCCCTCGTCCCACACTGGTAAGTCCCAAAAGACACTTCGACCAATTTGATCAGCAAGAATGAACTTTGTTGACCCCGACAATTGACAGTCCCCGACATATGCTCTACTCACACAAGGTCATGTCATGAGATGCAAACGCAGGTTAAAAAGTTTTACGGACAGGTCTGATGACGGGCCCGACTAACCAGAACTCTGGCGAAGCTTGCTTTTAAAGCAACAGCAGAACAACAAATAATATTGATTATTTGTAGACCTATGTCATAATTGTTACAGTCATCAGGTCATAAACTAGAGAATTCCGGGTAACAAAAACGAATGTAGATCTTGAGAGTAACTAAGTCGGTATTCCAAATCGATATATATTACATCAAATTTAGTTGGGATTTTTCAAAGTGTGCGAGTCAACTACTAGATACTCCATTGATGTTTTAGAACATAGTGTTCCAAATTCCTGTTGATAAAAAAGTCCAAATATTTAAAAAATCGGGATATCCCGATCAAATCGGGATGAGTGGGAGGTGTCTGAATAAGCGTATACACTGCACATAATTATTTAAAATCATATTTAAAAGACACCTTGTACCTACACAAGATGACTGCAGTTCAGAAAAGCCATCACATTTTGAGGTTAAGTGATCACTACAAAGAGATTGAAGTGCTGAAATATGTGCTATGAAACCCTTGAAGCTACAAGACTACATGGCTTTTTGATTGCAGTTTGCCAGATAGTGATTTCTTAACCTCTATTTTTCCCTGTAACGTGAAATGGCAAACTACAACAAGAGAAATGTATTTCTGATCTGACACAAATGTTGATGGGGTTGCAAAAAACAAGGCAATCCAACACAAAAAGAAAACCACATAAAATCAAAGCAACTCACCTTAAACTCTGCGAGAATGCGTGCACTCTCCTCTGCGTCTCGTTCTGTCATACTGTCGTTAGCCTGAGCTTCTGCAGGAGGCTCTTTGGCAGTCTGGTCAACATATGGGGTTCCTGGAGGGCTGACAGGCCCATTATCAGGCTTCTCATCTACAGACACATGGACTTTTTTAGAGTCCTTCACAGCTCGACCATCTGAAATAATAAGCAAAGAATACTCACTACTTCACACTTTCAGTATGTTTCCTCCATTACAGATGGCAAAATCAAAGGGGAACAAAACTTCTAAAAGGAAGTAAATCTTTTCCATTCAATACTCCGATCAGGATTATATATTTTACTTTCCTGGACAAGCGGTCATCTGAGTTTGCACCCTTTGACTTGAGATCTGAATTACAAAAGACAAATAAATGAACTTGAGCTACTCTATCGCCCATGCATTCAAGCAGCACACATGGGCCACAGAGGTACCCAGCTGATACATGGGTCTCAGTCACACCAATACCTTCTTTAATCTTAGGCAATGTCAAGGCATGTTTGCCATGCCTAGCTGCTTTTCTGTCTTTCTTCTTATGTGCTTTAGACGTGGCAGTTCCTCCATCTGAGGGACACAAGGGGAACAGCAAATACTCATGTGACCGATAAAAAACATGGCATAAAGTCAAACATGAAGGCAAACTCTGCCCCTGTACATATAGAAATAGAACCCCCCCCCCCCCCCCCCGAAAAAAGCAACATCAAACAAATCTTACAAAGCCACAATCACAGCCAAAAACATTCTGCTCCATCAATGGCTATGTTGAAAACATTAACACGAAATACAATCAGAAATAAAATAAAATGATGAACAAGGAACCCTTTGATTTCAAATTTTTTAGAATATCCTCTCCTCTCAAAATACAAAAAACCACCCAACAAAAAACAAAACAAAAAAGAAACACCCACAGAAATAACAACATGTACAATTCTCAGAGTGTACAAATGTACAGTGACGTTGGCAGACAACATAAATCTATGGTGGGTAAGCCACAGGTCATAGACTGAATGTAACAAATTCAAACTGCTTATCAGAGCTTCAGGAAAATCTCATCTCCATCCATGCAGCTCTCTTAACTCTTTTTATCCTAGCCGTACCCCCACGGACTCTGTACCCGTCCTGGGGCTGCCGCGCCATATGAGTCGGAAGTCAGTGCGTATAGTTCAAAGTGCTATATTTCTTACTTATACTCTAAGGTTTTAAAGGAAATTTGGCAGTTATGTTAGAAATTGAATGTAGTTTTTGTAAATGTATGTGGTTAGGAAATACACCAATAGCACAATGTAGATTTTGAGGTGTATTCCACCCTCGAACTTGACCCTGATTGCCGCGCCCACGACGTCCCACTGGATTTTATAGATCTAGATCTAGCTCTACCCATCGAACACGAATTCCAGTACTGACCCCTTCACCATGATCTGAATCGCTATTAGATGAGTCTAAGTCATGTTTCTTATCATCCACAACGGAATTTACGGCACTTATTTCAGAGTCACTATCATCAAATTAGTATCATTCCCCCTCACAACCCAGCGCAACTTTAAAAAGTACTTCGTCGGTCGTGAATGTGCGTTTTCGAGACATCTTTCAAGCTTCTACACCCATCAAAAACAAAGAAACCACTGTTCATTGAAAAATTAAAATATTCACACAGAGCTAGCATCGCCGTATTTGCGTATTTTGGTAATTACAAGCAGAACTAGCTTCTTTGACGAGACCGTATCGTTGTTCCGAGAATACTCGTAGCCCGGACTGGTTCTCGTTACGAGTATACTCGTGGCCCGGATGAAAAGAGTTAAAGCATAATGGCCCCTGAGGGTGACAAGTTCCTACAACTGTGTACCTTCCTCCTGTACACAACCTCCATCACTCACAGTTTACATCCCTAATGAAAGAAATAAAATGGGTTCACAGCATACATAGGCGTAAACACTCTACACAAAGATACAAAGAAATCTGAAAAAGCAGATAGGACCCAAAGATACTGAGACTTACTTAGAATAGCCTGCAACTGTTTGATGAAAGTTCCATCATACACTCCTCTTTCTTCCCAAATGTTGAATATTCTTTCCACTTTGCCTTTCACTGAGACATCCCTGCAACAAAAGATAAACGCAAATGATGCACATTCTCTCCAAAACATCATAAACCATCCACAAAATAAAATGAATATCCACTTCATATTACAATTTTTCATTGGAAAGCACAATTTTTACGAGCTATTTTAAAACTTCCTTCAGTTAGTTGCATTGTACACGACAGGCCTACGGGTTAAAAAAACAAAACGACCTGTTATGAAGTTAATTAAAAAACGACATTCAAATTTAACTCATTCGCTACGTATTATTTTCGGCTTGTGGACAAATTTTTTTCGGGAGGGCGAATGAGATGATGACTAGTGGACAGTTAAAAGGTCTTTGGTTTTTTGTAAAGTGTTTTACGGCGCTCGCAACTGTATAGGTCATATGAGCGCGCGGGACACTCCTAGTATTTTCAGTTGGTAGGAAATTTTGAATTTTGCCCATGTGGCGGCCGAAGCCTACTCTTATCGATTTTAGACCACCAAGGGATCTTTAACGTGCGCAACTTGCACACGGGCCCTCCGAGATTTTTTGCCCTTGTCCGAGAAGGCTAGGTGTAGATCTTTCCTACCAGAAGATCAGGGGTGTGGCAGAAAGACAGCAGTAAGGAGAAGCCAAGGAGTAGCAGTAGAAAGGCTGCAGAAAGAGTCAGGAGCCCAGAGGAGGGGGCAAAGGAGGTGAGGGGGTGGGGGCAGAAAGTGGAATTGAAAGCAGACAACGGGACATTGCTAGAGAGCAGGAAAGGAGGTGAAAGGAGACAATTTTAGAGAAGAAAATTTTTCGGTCGCTACCCGGATTCGAACCCGGATTCGAACCCGGGACCTTTGAATGAGAGGCCAACACCTTAACCTCTAGGCCACGAGAGCCCCCAAGGTCTTTGGGGCCACAAATTCAAATAAATATCAACGTATTATATACCAATATTTTCAGTATGGTTTGTAGAATACATCTGTAATGTTTATTTACGTATTTTTCAACTTTGTGGTTCTTTTAAGACACGATTATGCAACACAATTTTGATTGGATGCAGATACAATTTGAAAATAAAAAATTAATCTTTTGTGAAACTCAAAAAATTTGTTTGCACCTAGTCAAATGATACATCAAAATAACCATAAAAGAATATAGAACTGGAAAATATTGAAAAGTTTGCAGTTATTTACCTACATTCCATAATATTTGTACATTTTGAACATAACATCTGATACTGAAAAAAACCCAACATTTTTTATAATCTTGAAAAATGATCACAAACAGAAAAAACCCCCACTTGTATCTTATATGGAATTATTCAGAATTGCATTTGGAATAAACCTATACATGTCTTGAGTGGCACTTTTTGTGTAATTTCATCAAAAAGTAGTTATTTTGGGGAGAAAAAATATTTTGACAATTTAGATCTAGACTCAAAAAGATTGATTTCTCAATAATAGTGCATTGGCAATATGAGTCCAATCGTATTAATATTATAAAAAAGAGTTCTACATTTCTTTAGTGGGCAAAATAATGATAGATTTTGTAGTGTAATATTAGTAAGACTGGTGTCCGGGCTATAATTTTGGCATCGTGATAAAACAAAGTCGAATAAACTACGAAATTGCGTTTCAAAACTGCATCTAAATTTTTTATTTTCAGTGGAAATGCTTGACCCGGAAGTCAACATTATATTATGACCTTTATTTTAACATGGATATGAGGATTGGAATAGAATCTAAGCTAAAATTGAAGATCGGTTCTCGAGCCGCCGGGGGCGGCTTAGCGTACTGACGGCACTTTAGCCACGCCGTCCCCCACGGCTCGGCGTAGCGAATGAGTTAAAAGTGATGCAACGTTTCTACACATTGCAATCCTCAGAACTTGACCATCTTAACCATCTTGTTATAAGTATTCCTATGACCTTAGAGCATGCATCTGAATACCATTAAGTTACAATCAGAATACTGAGTATGTATCTAGCTTAACATTATCATTGTTTATACTTAAGCAAATCAAAATACTTTGACAGCTACTAATCTAGCAACACCAACACATTTAGAAACAAAAGATAGATCAAACCTTGACTTGCCTTCTAGCCTATGACACAAAGAAATGCTTATATAACTCCGCTGATACAAAAAGCAAAATATTTAATCTAACACCAAAACTGGTCATTACGGGCAATATTTGCTCTAAACAATCTTAGCTGACTTTTTCTCAAGTACTGTACCCACACAGTTTGCGTTGAGTCTTCACAAAACAAAGAAACAAGAGACTCCAATCAGCAAAAAAACCCATTCCTAAGTTTTTGTCTAAAGTGTTCACCAACTTCTTTCTCTACACAAAAAAGGCATTTTACCTTAACAATCACGACTGATTTCTTTAATAAAGAAGGAATGTAAAAAAGCCACAAACCATCTCTCCATTCCTCTTACTTCATAAGACAAAACAGGTCACCGTTTGCATACTTTAACCAAGACTTTGAAAGCTTTCCCAGGGAAAAAAATATACCACTTTTCAGGGGAATGGAAAACTATAAACTGTTAAACTAGCACCTTACAAGAGAAGGGGAAAAAAGAAAATCTGATATTCAGCATGTTTATAACTTAATGTTGACCATTTTTAATGTGTGATGAATACAATGTCCGATGAGAGAAAAAAAGAGAGGAACGATTCCACTCTTAAACACTCCCCAACCCCCACCCAGTGAAACAGTGATTTGACTAAGTATAAAAACTAAATACCTGACAAGAGCAGCAGCTTCCCTCAGGTGCTCTTTGAATGTTGAATTATAGATAAATGCCTTCTTTTTCTTGCAGGTCTGCACAACATCATTGCACAGATAAAACAGCGTCAGACGGTGCGAAGGATGAACTGAAAGAGAACATTTGAAAAATCGGACGATAATTAATTTGTCTCAAATACTATACAATGATGTAAAAATCAGCAATTTCAACGACCAAATGGAAGTAAATAACATCTCCCCTGTGTGCATCAAATCAATACTTTAAAATAGCTTTTCACTTGAAGCAGTCCAACAAAAAGGCTGGCCAAATAAAAGCATTTAACTTTCTCTCAGATCATATGTGAGGCATCATGGTGAAATCAGGCAAACGTCAAAAAGATGAAACCAAAGAAATCTGCCTTTTTTTTGGCTGATGGGCAATTTTTTTCTTTTTTTCCCCCTTGGCTCAACCTCTGTTAAGTCCATACAAAAACACATTTCCATGTGAAATTTACTTTAAAAAAACATTTATTAAAGGCACAGAATATGTCATTTTTCAGTTTTCAAAGACTCTTTAGCTATTGGAGTTACCAAACTTTGGCGGCCATTTTCTCGCTAATTTCGCCACTGAAACCAGGTGACCTCACTTCCTTTAATCACAAATATCTTGAGTTCTATCCAAGATAAAAGGATATTTATTCCACCATTAGAAGCAAGGCAAATAAATAAGCTTTCCGATGATACCAATAACTCCTCATAAAAATAGATGAGCGCCTCATTCTACAGCGTCGTAATACACATATGCAATTTATGTGAAAAATGGGACACCTAACCAGTAAAATGAAGTGTAACCTGCATCAGCAATGTCTTTAAGATGGTCTAAATAAAAAAAGGTAATGGAACCTGCAACACGGAAAGTGTTAATAGAGGTTATTCTTCAAATACACACATTTGTGCACCAATTTCATAGTCATTTTCTCTTGACACAGCAAGAAAAATGGCTGCATAACGATAACATATCCTGTAAAAAAAAAAAAGGCAAAAAATTTACTAATCCAGGATTAGAATTTAAAAAAAACAACAAATCAGTCATGTAAACTGACAAATAAAGTGCCAAAGACCAATCAAAAAATTAGTCAGACATGATAATATTAATTTTCTGTTTTTTATTCTTCGTACCCATCTAAGACTTACAAGTCAAATGTAGGCCAATTGTTGACTTTTTTATAAAGATAATGGCGAGTTAGACTACAACAGTCCCACTTCTCGAAGCAATAATATAAATTACTAAAAATAAGAAATTTAGGGAATTTTGCAAGACACAGTGGAAACAAGAAGCAGACCATACTTACTCATAATCATAATGCAACTAAAAAAATTGTTTTTTTTAATAACCTCTTTGTTACTAGACAACAGTGCTTCATTTCAGAGTTTCTCTTAGTTATGCTGACCAGTCTTTTTAGCTTTAGTACAGTCAAACCTGCCCTGACGGCCACCTCTATAAAAGACGGTCACCTGTACAAACGGCCACTTTCCATTTCCCCCCTTGCGTTTTTTCTATATTATTTAACTGTGTAAAACAGGCACCTGTCCAACGCGGTCGCGGCCACCATATTTTAACACACAACCCCTATCACGCTAAGCAATAACACCTGTCTTAGACGGCCACCTTAGTGACTCCATTACGTTTTGTCATAAATTGTGCATTGGCCCCTGGCGTTGTGGGCGAGCCGTCATAATTCAATCACTTGTCGTTGTTGTTGGGTAGTCCCTCCAATCGATCATGTTGCGTAGGCCCCTCCCACTGTTGACCAATAGTTACTGATTTTCAGCTGCTGGCAAGGTAACCGTGTGATCCCTCATAACCCAAAGCCCCGCCCAGAACTCATACACAAATCGCAAGTGAGATGAGTGGTCACTGTTTACCCAGTCTGTAACAAAGTAACAAAGAACGTCAACATGAACTTGCGAAAGAAGCGTCGCTCGTTCTCCGAGTGGTGGCAACCCATGTGTTTGTTTTAACATGGCACTCGGTCTTTGTCGTCAGAAACATTTCGTTTTATTATCACCATTGCGCAAAATCAGAAATTTTTTTTTTTTTAAATTACAAACAAAATACAAACCAACAACATCAACAACAATGCGGCCACTTTCGATAGGGACCTCAGATGGGAATGGTTTGTTTTCTTCATCTTGCTTGATCAGTCCTGCCTAAGTCGGCCACCCGTCTTACGGACACTTTTCTCCTTGACAATGGGTGGCCGTCTTACACAGGTTTGACTGTATATCCATTTGTTTAGAATTTATCCAGTGTTTGCGGGGAGGTCTCTAAGGGTTGGGCTTAAAACTACCAGCTAGCTGCAATTAATTAAAAATAATTCACAACAATCATTGATAGGCTTGTATTTCATCCTTATATGGGAATGCAAGAAACTCATTTGTATTTCACAATCCTTACTGCCACACACATCTGGAATTAAGATTTTTCTTTACGGATCCTTTTCTAATATTATGAACCATTGGGTCATTTAACACATAATGCTTTTAGAAATCTTAAGATTTTAAAGTTTAGTAAACAAGATTATTATAGAATATATTATAACAAATGCAATAAATTGAAAGAGTAAAAAAAAAACTCACCAGTTTTCTTCAAAACTTTCATCCATAGCTCAACAATCTTTCCATGATGAGATTTGTGATGGATGATCCACAATGACAAACTTTGAATGCTGTCTTGTGTGTTGTTAACAGTTTTCAACTTTTTTTCAACACTATCTTCATTTAGTGCTGATGCCATTTTCAGAAATTGCTTCTGAGATTACAGTTTTGGTTCCAGATGATAAAAACGTTAAGAATCATCCACGCTTACAACCAGTCCTCTTTGTACTTGTACAAGGAGTCAGGATCATCAGTTTACTGTAAAAGAAAATAATAAGTGCTTCAGTAATAATTATATTGTACATCTCAAGTCAATGCTGTTGTTGGGAAAAAACTCCACACTACATGCTGTCATTCTATTCACACCTGGAACAAAAGCTTTCAAATTGACAATTGACTGACTGTAACATTTTAATAACTCAATATAAGACTATCAATTTGTTACGACTGACTAAATTTTCCTTTGAATTCCTACGAAGACCGAACTGGCCATTTACTCAAACGGAAAACACGAAGTGAACAAACTTAAACGCTGTCAGTTGGCTCTCATAGTCTCGAGGTACAATGTTTGCCTCTCAACCAAAGCGATGAAAGAATTTTCTTTCCGTAAATTTACTCCTTTCACCTCCTTTGATGTCATCTGCTTTAATCTCCACTTTTTTACACCCCCCCCCTCCCCCCTGCCCCTTCCCTCCTCTCTCCATTATTCCTAACTAAAAGTTACCATTTAGGCAAAGTTTAATCAAACCCTGGACCATAATCATACGGCCGTCTCCATTTAAATGTATGCCAAACAAAGGCATGCTCTGCTCAAATGCATGCTTGCTGATATAATGGATGCTTATACTATAATACTATAATTTATGCATAAAAACGCAGTCACTTTCTCAAATGCATGCTTAGAATGTGTAACACATTGACAGGTAAAGCTTGACAAAGAAAATTTTCGCCATAACCTAGAAAGCTTGCACTATAATAACAAAAACAGGATATTTGGTGAGGCTGCTCATCATGCATCATAAAGAAAGTGATGGCCAGCGTGGAGCCCTGTGCGCCTACAATTGATCATCTTGTAGGAGCTTGCCGTGATTGTTTTGCTCAACAGTAACAGTTCTTCTTGTCACTATCTCTCATTACTATACAACTAGTCACACAGGCACAACAGAGAGTAAAAACACAGAGGTTGTAAATAAAGCACCACCAATGGACGTTTCTGGTTAAAATTTTTGAGTACTGAATGACGATAGAAATACCACATAACAATAGTTATATAACATCAGCTATATCTGGTGCTTGAATCTTACTTTGTTACCCAAATCGCCAAGTTCCGAAGAAAGCACTGTGCACATATATGTACTAAACATTTCACCAAAATCTTAGAAAAGTTGTCTCTGAATAGCACTCTGGGTAAATGTGTGATCCACTTTAAAGCATGCAGACAGTAAAAAACTAAAACCGCATTTATCTGATCTAATTTTATCACTACTGCAAATCTCCAATATGTTCCAAATTCACCACTGCATCTTGTTAAAAATAGTACGATCAATCCTGTGAATACTGTGATAGTGTCCAAAACGGATCAGCCATAAAAATGACTCTTTACATATTAATTTGGAGCTAATGGAAGCAGAGCAGCAAAGCAAAAGCCACATGTCCTCCTTTATTATTATATTGGAAACTATGGCTTTGCCAAGGTGAAAAAGACATATGAGCAATTGCCAAAACGTGAGACTCTCCTGAGACTCAGTGGTGCAAAAAAAATTTTCTTACCAATTTGACTCTCTTTTCTGTCAGTCACAGATTGACATTTAGTGCTCATATTCCTAGAGTATCAGAGCAAGGAGATGTACGGTTTTGGAGATATGGGTCTATTGGTTTGGCAACTACTGTATTTCTTGTATGTAACAGTGATGACAAAAACAGATAAGCAGCAAGGCAAATTATGGACTTTAAATTCCATTCGTTTAGTAAACAAACACTTTGTACACTATGAACTCCATTCATAATGGTAATATGAATGGCAAGCTTTGTAACAATGACGCAGTGCACAGAACATGTCATCATTGTTATGTACAAGAAAGGATACACATTGGACATTATCATTGACAACACATCACAATAGTGAAAGGCTGTACAAATACAGTTATCAAAGCCTCAGTACCAGAAAAACACATGTGTAAAACAATTTTTAAAATAATATGAGGCAAAAGCACAAAATCAATGGAGTTGACTTGTACATAACAGTGATGACAAACATGACTTGTACATAACAATGATGACACAATGTACAGGAAAAGACAAAAGTCTTGCCTCCAGAGATAAAAGCGCACTTTAAGAATTTTAAAAAAACCAGGAGAGGTTTCTTTTGCTTTGAAACAGATACCAGGTCATATCAAAGACAGTGGACGATCACAATTATGTGGCTAACTATGACAAACAGTACTCGTACATAACAGTGATGACAAAACATACTGGGAAAAGGTAAAATCATGCCTACAAAGAACAAATTTGCACTAAGAGATACACAGATCAAAAAAGGCGTATTTTGCTTCTAAATGAACCTTGCATGTATGAAATATATGTTGAAAACTTATTGATATTAGCAATTATGAAAAATATTACTTGTACATAACAATGATGACAATGACACAATGTATTGGAAAAAGGTATATCATACCAACAAAGAACAAATGTGTATTTTTGAGTTAGACAGATAAACAAGGACATGTTTTTTTATTTGTTTGAGTAAAGAGAGCACACATTACTTTAAAAATGTTTGCTCTTAGGACAATGTAATTTCTTGTACGTTAGTCAGTCTTGTACGGCTGCATGACGACACCCCAAACGTCATCACTGAGCACAAAAGCTAAATCTATAACCACAGAAATGATTCATCTCTCGAAGTTTGTTCACACATCACACTCTTGTTCCAGGAATCCAGTGTAAACACCGCAATTTCACTAAAATATTCAATAGAGTAGCCTAAAAACACGCAAAACAGCCCAGTACGTCACATTCAACGCAAAAATCTTGTGCGTCACCGGACGCTGAAGGCAATGACTACTTTCGTTTTTCTGTTTCCCCCGTTGCTTCCGTTGTTCTGGGGACGCGAGTAAGTGGAAGTCACTCAAGAAAACAATTATATCCAGGCACTTTTGATGACCCGTTCAAAACAAAAGTGGGCGAAATTCGGACTTCCGGCACGTCGCAAATTGACGACAATAACGGCGAATGTTAAACAGCCGACCGAAATCGTAGATCTAGGAACCCGATGTTCCTTTCGCGCATCGCGGCTTTTGAAGTATTGAATAAACGACGATAGGCAAAGAGATTTAACCAGCTACGGTGATTCTACTGAAAAATAATGGTGTTTTCTGAAACACCTAGTCCGTGACGACACGACAGACGCACAAGTAATCAGAATTGTTCGTCTATTTGCAAACAAATAAATCGATTTCTTGAGCAAGTTAACCTTTCTCAATGACAAATAACATAGGATCAAAGCACACATTAAAAAAACACACCCAAAAATACTAAATTTTGGAAATTCTTGGAAGTTTGCATTGGTGTGCTCAAAATGACACTCCAGGAATCACTAAAAAACGAACATTTTTTGGCACAAAATTTACAAACTCAAGATTGTAAAGCTGACAAGGGGTCTGAAACTGCTAATGCAGGTTCTACATCCTATATTTGACGTGTGTATACGTTTTGGAGGAATAAATACTAATGCATCACATTTTATGCACACTAATGTGAGATGTGTGTGTTTTTCCCCACGTTTTGGCAATGGCTCATATATGGACATGACCATGGTATGGTGTGCCGCGAGACAGAATTTAGGCAATGATGAAAGCTAATGTGCAACCATGAGCAGAGGGGGGACAAAGTGGGAGGGTCATGCTATGCTGTAATTATGATGGTTGTTACAACTTCACACCTGAGGCCTGAGGGCAATTCAGCTTAAGTATTGTAATGTTATCATTTGTAGGAGAGATCAGATGCCATGCAATGCAAGGTGGTTCTCAACAATTTCTTTGAAATCTTTAATAAGGCAAGGCCAAATGTAGATTACCCCTCTCTGAAACTCAAGAGCAGGTTTTTCTTGTCATCTGAGGCGTGTGCTTACAGGCCACTATAATAGTCTATAGTACTGTAGCCTACCTGACCTACGTCTCTTCTCCAGGCCCCGGGTCTAGCAGATGCCTTGCTGCTCTACTCCTAGTCTACTATTGACAACTTTTACTTACTTTTGGGCTCAGGCAGAAGATCGGCAAACATGCCTAAACCTATACTACTTGTATAGAAACACAGATCAGCAGTGAGTGTCAGAAATAGTAGCAGTGCACTAACTAGAGATTTAATAATAATTATAGAGATCTAGTGTTTTCAGTACCAAAGTACAGTTTGCAGCGTAAATAAATCATTGTATCAGTCTCAGTTCAGTGTCAGTACTGTCAGTATCATCGCAATACATGTAAAATCAGAGGCTCTACATCCAGATCTGGATCTCAACAAAAACCTCAAAAGCATAAATGCATTAAGATCTCCACAAAAACATCTACCATTCTCTAACCGGCTTGATCCAGTCACAATATTGTGACACTCGAATCCTTCCCTCCAATACATGCAGCGTAAATTTACGACTGTAATGCTCTCGCTATGCTGGCCTACAGCTATCGGGCTGCCATGTTGAACATCTCGCAAATTTACGTTCAGCGTCTTACTTTCGATATTAAACTATTTTTATTTTTCGGGTTTAGTTAAATAATTTATATGACATATATCTTTAAATGAAATAGCTGAGAAAATAAAGAATCAAAACTAAAATTTATTCTTTATTTTCAATAAAAAGATTATGTTCTTCGCTTCTTTTTGCCTATGGTTACACGTTTTTAAAGGGGTAGCCTATCCACTAGGCCTACCCTGATAACAACGAATTGTCATCCAATTTCATGTACGCTATTACTATTATACGTTATTATAAATGCAAATAGAAGAGGGAAAAGACATAGTACAAATTGACTTAAGAAAAACGCTGTATATAATGTGTCTTTGTAACTGATAGATAGCAATTTAACCTAGCAGCGAAGAAGAATTATAACTGTTGATATTTTAGCAGTCTGTTTTGTGTGACAGAATTGTTTTTACTTTTATTGTCGCCGGTACAAAGACTGGTGCAAATATTGTGGCATGAATGTCATTAGACCTCGATCTTGGCTCTTCATAAATCTTTGACGGTTAGTCTAACAGTTATAAGACTAATTGTTACGCCTGCAAATATTTACAATAATAATAATAATAATAATAATAATAATAATATAATAACAACAACAATAATAATAATAATAATAATAATAATAATAATAATAATAATAATAATAATAATAATAATAATAATGAATAATAATAATTGCATTAATGTAAGTGCTCTATCATATATGAGTTAAGCTCTGAGCACTTTACATCTATCACGCAATCACTGAAAATAGTAAATTCATTCACAAAGAATAAAATATTTCACAGAAACATTAAACAAACAAAAAAGTTCAAACCACAAAGAAAAACCATCATAGCCATACATTGATCATATATAAAGGTAAGGACAGTAGTAAAAACAAAAAATATCGGCATTTACTAACTACAACTAAGAATTAAACAAGTGAGTCTTGAGCAAGGGGCTTTGAATTTTTTTGCATCTGTGGATGACAGTTACTGACGAGATGGAACATACGGTGTTAAAAGCTCAGATATATATGATGGGGTTTAATTGTAAAGACATTTAGAATTATAGACTGTAACAGATGGTAGAAACGTTATAAAGTGTTCTTTTATCAACTACGAAAGCCAATGCAGTGCTTTAACAAATTTGATGCTGGATCTTCCTTCTTTTCTTCAGTACTTGTCTTGCGGTGTTAATGGGACTTAGCCTCGCTCACACATACATACAAACAGAAAATAGGGGCATACACACACACACACACACACACATACACACACACACACACACACACACACACACACACATACACACACACACACACACACACACACACACACACACACACACACACACACATATACATACATACATACATATACACTACTACTGTTATCGGTGTTTTTGCAGGCGCTTCTGGCCCATCTGCTGTGTTAGGCTAAACACGACGGTTGGTGTAGTTTCTGTACTTTTTGGATAGTCCATACCAAAAATAGCTATCTCAAGACAAATATCGCCCGAAAAAGACTCAAACAATAAAAAAAATAAAACAGTTTCAAGGAACTTAACTTTCAAACACACACATTTTCACGTTAACGTTTTCTGAAGCTTTGAAATCAAGTGATTGGAGAATCAATTTGTATAAAACACTTGGGATTTTTGTTTTATCTTGCACCAGCACGAGAATGCATGACTATTTTGACTCATGGGCTGGCTAAATACCTGGCATGAGATCTAGCTGTCCAGATTGGGAAAGTCATATTTTATTTTGGGTTGTGTTGTTGTTTTTTTCGTAAGATACTTTCCACCTACAAAAGACACAACACATGAGACCACATCTTACTTCAATGACTTCATGTACATATTTTAAAGTGTTCAGCAATATAATAAAAGGTCAAAACGCTGAAACACTCTCCTCCTCAAATATTGAATGTTTTTTCCAGGGGTAGTAGCAGCCAATATTTTCACTCTTGGTAAATTCATTTTATCATTTATTAAAGAATGGGTATACATATTTAGCTAAGGAAGTCTTTGAATCAGTGGGTGCACATCACGTACGCTTTTGTGTTGGCTAAGGGATTGAGGGGGGGGGGGGGTGTGATACGTGCGTTGGTCTTATTACAATATAAGTATGTACAAATTCAAATGTATAGGCACTATCTGTGTTCGTATGTGTTGAAAGAAAACAAACGCACGAGAGAGAGAGAGGGAGAGAGAGAGAGAGAGAGAGAGAGAGAGAGAGAGAGAGAGAGAGAGAGAGAGAGGGAGGGAGGGAGGGAGACAGAGAGAGAGAGAGAGAGAGAGAGAGAGAGAGAGAGAGAGAGAGAGAGAGAGAGAGAGAGAGAGAGAGAGAGAGAGAGAGAGAGATGATGATGATGATGATGATGATGATATGATGATGATGGTGTAATGCGTAGACCTACCACATACAGGAATGAGATGCGGTTCATCACTCAAAATAAAAATACGCAATCACCGGCGGAAAGACAGACACACACAAAAACACATACACAAAGGCCTACATTATAATGAACGCCTGAGCGTGCGCCCCCCTCTTTCTCTCTCTCTCTCTCTCTCTCTCTCTCTCTCTATCTCTCTCTCCCTCTCTCTCTCTCTCTCTCCCTCTCTCTCTCCCTCTCTCTCTCTCTCTCTCTACTCTCTCTCTCTCTCTCTCTCTCACACACACACACACACAGCGTCACATCACAAACACACACAAACACACACAAACACACACATAAATACACACAAACATACACACACACACCTAAGAGACCCCCCCCCCCCCGTTTGCAGTCCAGTAATCATCAGTAGCCTAATTTGCAAATTAAAAATCGGTGTTCGACACAGAATTCTACACTTCTCTGTTAGCCTAGGCTTGGCCTAGTTGCCAAGACCAGTAGGTTATGAAAAATCTGGAAAGAAGAAAATCATTCATTGCTTCCAGCAGTTTTCCTTCACAGCCTAGCAGTGTGTGTTGACTCGCGAGAGTGAACTCGCGAACAGTGAACAGTGAACAGGAAATCGTTTGGTCTGCTGTTCATCCTCCAGTCCGCTGGTTTGTTCGCCTCAGCAGAAGCCGACTCGCTGAACAGTGTAAAGTCAGTGTTGTCAAGGCTGGTTGAAACTCTACTTTAAAGTTGAAGAATCAAGCCAGTTCATCAAGTGAAGTGTCACTTGTTTTGCCTCGTAGATGTGATCAGGAGTGAGATCGAGCTTCTCCCACATCACCAGTCCATCAATCAACAAGTGTGTGTTGACGTAAAGAATCTAGATATCTACTTTCCTATTGAATTTGATTCAATAAATTGCCGAAGTTCTCACACCCAAGGCCCAAGGACTTTGATTTAATCTCACCCAGAACCTGTGTTGGAAGTGCCTTTTATACTTATAAATCTACTCAGAGGTGCAGTAAAACCTGTGAAGGTAGGCCTATTCAGATGTTTCACTCATTCTCAGCTGATCGAAAGAGCACTTTGGCACTTTGGTTTCGACTATCCTGAACAATGCTAATTCTTGTCCTTAGGCCTTAGCCTTAGTTATTATATTATCAGTGACCATTCTCATTCTGTTGCAAAAGACCAAGGTCCCTGAGTAGTATGATGTGATGTGAATGTGTTTTCGGTGACACACCCATTGTGTGTGTGTGTGTGTGTGTGTGTGTGTGTGTGTGTGTGTGTGTGTGTGTGTGTGTGTGTGTGTGTGTGTGTGTTGATTCTTATGACTAAATACAATATCAAGGGTCCCTTTGCCTTTGATTTTACTCATCATGCCAGTGTGATGAGTACAGAAGGCAGATGGTGTCACTCAACAGACAGCTGTGTTAAAATCTCACTACATGACAAGTATTTTTAAGATTTTAAGTGTCATGTTGTGCAAAAGTTCAGTCTTGTTTGAAGTTGTTGGCCAAATGAAACCTGTCTTTGATAATTCTATAAATTTATTAAAGCTTTAGGAAGTTTAGGACTGGTTGAATTCAATCTTGGAACTGATTAATGAGAATTAATAAAGATGAGTTGTTTTTTTTACTTTCTGCTTCAACTGTTTATGATATAAAGTCCTGTATTTACTTTTTGAAAGTAAATCATGAAATTATCAAAGGTTTTCTAAATTCCGCAAATGTCAGAAATCGGAGGATACAGTCAGTTTTGTGACCAAAAAAAATTACACAAAGATTAGTAATCTTACTTACTTACTTATAAATATTATGAATAAAAGATCTATACTTACTGACTCCATCAATAATTTTTTAAGACAACGTTTCCGTGGATCATTGTACGCTTTTAGATAAATGGTAGGCTTAGATAAAAAGTCAAATGTTTGCAGTTTATGATAGTAGTTAATATTGGAGGGTTATGATTTGGCTTCTTTTAAAGAATAACATTATCTAATATTTTTTGGTCCAAGTGATTTATTTATATTTTTCTCTTCCCATGCTGTGGTAATTTTTTTTTGACAACTTGGGAGCCTATTAGTAATCTAGATTGAAAAGTCCATTGTGTTGACTGTGATAAAAAGTATTTTTATAAAGCAAAGTTTTGTCCTCCTACTTGTACTATAATGAGCAGTTTAGCGGATCTGCTCTGAAAGTTTGTCTTTGTATCTGGGGAAGTTAGTCAGTTCTCTTTTTTTGATAGTCTTTTAGGTAATGTTGATTTCACAGTCTTGACAAAGTAAAAACGTGACAAAAAGGTTTTTAAACAAAAAAGAAAAGTCTCAACCACCTTGTGTCGTTATCCCACTTTTCCATTCTTGTGGAGCCACCTTTTAATAAAATATTTCTCCTGTTCTTTTGAATATAGAAAAAGGTAAGTGAAGTAACAATGTACAGTATTGGATGTAATATTTTTCTCTTTCTTCAAACAGATGAGCAGATTGCGGTGTGAAGAGACAGGGATCATATGACAGCATCATGGACCAGCATGTCATTGCTTCACTGGATTATCCTGATGACTGTTTAATCTCTCAGTGTATTAGACCGCCATGACAAAGGCCAGATGAGGGCATCCTTACTTATCTTGTAGTGGGTTTTCTTTTCATTTGTTCTTCTCAGCTGGAAAAAGTGGCCTCTGATTGAAGATGCATCACAAGGGTCAACCGAATGGAGTCCTCAGGCATAATCTTGCCTGGAAGAAGCATCACAGTCTCAAAAGCAGTGCATATTTATTTTTTGTAGGATTAATGGGATTCTTTGTGGGAGTGTTCCTGGTCAACTGGTGCAAAGTTAGTGTTATTTCTCACTGTGGATTAAAAGGTATGTGTTGCAAGGAAATTCGTTTGGGGCCTGAGCCAAGCCCTGAAATGGATGCCCCAGAGTCTGAGACAGAGCCGTCAAGTCTCAAAGACAAAGATGACTTTATATTTGTTGGAATTATGACCGCCAAAAAGTTCATTGACAACAGAGGACTGGCTTCACACAGAACCTGGGCTAGCAATATCAATGGAAAAGTTATGTTTTTTTCCAGCGAAGGTTCCTCCTCCAGCTATGATGTACCTGTGGTGGCATTGCCTGATGTCGATGACCATTATCCGCCGCAGAAAAAATCATTCATGATGATAAAGTACATGCATGATCATTTTCTCGACAAGTATGAATGGTTTATGAGAGCAGATGACGATGTTTTCATCAAGGGAGACAAACTGGATGAGTTTCTCAGAGGGATCAACAGCTCTCAGGCACGTTTTATAGGGCAAGCAGGGATAGGTAAAGCAGATGAACTGGGAAAGCTATCCTTGACAGCGCATGAAAATTTTTGTATGGGAGGCCCTGGAATGATTTTTAGTCGTGAAACACTGAGGAGGATGGCACCACACATCAGCTACTGCTTGCAGAATTTGTATACTTCTCATGAGGATGTGGAAATTGGCCGCTGTGTGAGAAAATTTGCTGGTATCCAGTGTACATGGGCATATGAGGTAAGCATTTTTTTTTCTACTGTAGTCTTTTGTTTGTCTTGACCATCATTGGCACAATCAGTTTGGTTTGGTAGACAGGGCTAGCCAGATTGAGGGTGCAAAGTGACCATTGTGACACAAACTGATCGACCGACTCATAGCCTAAAAAATAAACATGTTTGTTCTCAGACCGCCTGTCGGGCAATCGGTTTGTCGATCCCTCAATGGGCACTGGGTATTAAGTCATTTTGTCTTAAATGACTTAAGGGGTCGATGATTTTGTGTCTCATTGTAAATTTATAGACTAGTAAATTACTATTTTGTAAGGAACATTTTATTCTATCACAACTCATTCTGCTCTGGGGTGTATGCCCCTACTTTTTTTTTTCTTCAATATAGCCGTATCATCTTCTCTGTGAAATACAGTATTTGTTGTCATGCTGATTTATTACAACTCAACTCTGACTTGTTCTTTCAAGAATTGTCTTTTACTTCATGATGTTGTATTGTGTGCACTCTTTCCTGTTGTGATTTGAGAAAGGAGTGTGAGAAATATGACCCCACATGATTCCTTTCCAGTCCAATGTGCCAAAGGTAGTCTGTTTTGTAAGTGTTCCAGTAGATTATAGGTGGTTGACTTCCAGCTTCTTCTTTTTTGATCAGCTTCAGGAGAGATGTCTCATCTCATGGTGTGTTAAACTTTACGAATGTGGGTGGCTGGGGTGTGCCTTTAGTGGAATTGGGAAGTTTTGAATAGTTTTTGAATGTCTTTATCTGAGATATGACTGTACTTTCTGTTTCGTTGTTTTGCATAATTGCAGTACCGATTTAACTATTTTAAAGTTGATGGAAGGGGGGGGGGGTCGCCAGTGTATGCTTTCTCTTGTTTTACCAACACCCCCCCCCCCCTCAAATGATTTTATGCCTATATATATATATTATATAATATATATGGATGACCAGGGAATCAAAATGTCGTGTTTTCTGTGCACTTTTTCATAGTTCTAATCTCGTTGATAGTACTTTATAACCCTGCTCTTTGCCTATTTTCTATTTTCTCACATACACCGCTTCACCGCTTGAGAGTTAGTTTTCAAATCATCTTTGAACCGGGAGTGGGGGTTACCAGCTATCTTTTTGCTTTGAAGTTTCAGCCGTTCACAGTGTGGTAGGACCTTTCTAGTTGCACAGTCACATTCTAGGTTAGTGGGTGGTTGGCAGGTGCTGTGGTGTGGTTTGCTTCTTCTTTCAAACATCAATTGTCTTTATCTCCCCTTTTCTTTTTTATGTTTGTTACTCTCTTGTAACACCTCTAATCTTCTGGCGCTCATGACCTTATACAGTTGCGAGCGCTGTATAACCTCTACTAAAACTAAAACTAAACACTCTAGGTTAAGTGAAGCTGATGCTTTCGTTGAGATCTGCAATCAACTCTTCGATTGGTCCCCCGATGTCAGAGACTTCTCTGTTGTCTGTTTTAACTCTCCGAGAACGCACTAACGCTTTTAAACATGCATTGTTTTGGGGCACTATGAAGAAAAAAAGCAAAACTTCTCAGAGATTTTTCAAGTCTGTCTCCTTTATCTGAAACTTTAAATGGCAGGTAGCATGCCATTAAAAAAAACTCAATTTTTTGTTTCTCATTTGTGTGTAATGATTATGATGGTTCAAAATGTGATGCAACATTGCTTCTGGTCTGCCACTGATCGGACATGTCCGCTAGGCCTACGTCCTTAAAGAGTTAATAATAATGTAAAGCAGCGCCAGGTTGGGTTCGTAGCTGGTGCAAGATTGTTCCTGGTGCTGATAGCATCTGGTCCGTGTGATGTAAACCTATCGGGTTCCTTGTGAAACAAGCGGAGAGGCTGGCACTAGACTTCGTCATCTATCACGTTCGCGGACAATGGGTATATGCAGACAGACGGCTAGAAAGGCAAGAGGAAAACTAGTTCACCGCAAACTGATGAATACGCAATAATCAGGGGTCGCGTTGTGAACGGTACCGTGTATATATAAAAGACAGGTCGCTTGTGCGTGGCAGAGAGAGAGAGAGAGAGAGAGAGAGAGAGAGACAGTCAGACTGACCGACAAACAAACTGACAGACAGACAGACAGACAGACAGACAGACAGACAGACAGACAGACAGACAGACAGACAGACAGACAGACAGACAGACAGACTGACCGACAGACAGACTAAGATAAAAAGGTGGAACAAGAAAGAAAGAAAAGAAGTAGATGAGAATATATTATTAAGCAGGATGTGAAAGTGTGTGAGAATTAACGAGATAAATGCCGCTACGATCTGTACTTTCCACGATCAGAAGATCCCCGAGTCATGTAAGAAGGGAGGG